CCCTGCCCGGCTGGGGGCCCCGGCAGCCGGGCACGGCCGGCGCCTGCGGCGGGCTCCGTGCGAGCCGTGCCCTAGTAAACCTGCCCCGCTGGCTCCCGCAGCGAAGCGGCCGAGGAAAAGGCTGCTGAGCCTTGCAGGTAACTGCAAAGGTGCTGCCAGGTGGATCGATGTCTTCCTCGCTGCTTGTTTGGTTTCTGGAGTGTTTTGTTCCGGAAGAGTTCGGTTCTTCAGGGAAAAGTGGGAGCAGTGCCAATGGATTACTCTGCCCCAGAGGGAGGACTGTGTGAGCAATCCACAGAGGCCTATATGGAAACATGGGAAGGAAGGCATTCAGAATTAGGTGATGTGTTTTAAAGTAAATTTGCAGCAGGACCCAGATATTAAGTACACTGTCTGCAAAGTAAAAAAGTGACCATTGTTTTGCTGTATTCATTTGAGAATTTTGTTTTCTATTATTTGGATTTTAATTTGTGCAAAGAAAGTTAACACTAAGCACTCTTTTAGTAATATGAAAACAAATCTAGCTCCTGTCTACTTCTACAAATACTCTCCTTTCCCTTGTCATTTTGAAGTTACTTGTAACAAACTGACACAGGACCTAAGACTATCCATTGAAACAAAAAGGTGGTAAACCCAAAGTAGATAATCTGATTTTTCTGTCTTCTGTTTGGCAATAGCATGAGGTTTTTTTACCTCTATGTTCCTGTTTGGAAGTATAGGTTGTTATGTCCCTTCAGGTTAGCCTTTCAAAGTACCTTTACCTTGAAAGTAGTAGTGTTGTTTTCTGTTTCCTGAGAATGTGGTCTAATTTCTGTGTTAGAAGTGATATAATGTTGTTAGAATGTACGGAGTATGTGAACCTTACGTGTGGTAATGTCCGTCCAGTTTGGATGACAGAGGAAAGGCAGTGAAATGCCTTTAATCCTTGCAAAGGACTCGCACTAAAGTAGAGAATATTCTTTCCTTAACAGTGTTAACATATAAAGTAAGGGGATTGCAAGGGATGGTTATGTAACAGCAGCACTTTGGAGCAGGATGGATGGGCACTGGGTGAGGTGAAGTGTTTGATGCATTACAGCTCTTAATGCAGCATTACATCTGTTGCACTACTGCAGTGTTCAGAATTTTGTCTATGAAGAATTAAAGTGAGTCTTAAAAATTAAAACCTCTTATGCTGTAGAATGGGAGTGTGCTCAGTCATTAAAAAGGAAGGGTATTTGAATATTCTCACTTGATATTTTCCTAGCAATGTGTTTAAATTATACATTTAGTAGTAAGTATTAGGTATTTTTTCCCAAATAAATAGTCAAGTCCACTCCTGCAGTTATTGCAGCAATGTTCCATTAGGCAAAAATATGATGCAATTAATTTTCTGTAAGAAAAAATATCCTTATTTCCATGTTGTTGAAAGATGTGGAAGTTTTATTTTAGCTAGCAGGCTCTGTTTGCCTTATGCTCCCTTGAGTCTAGCTGATACAGGTGGTAACAGTGATGGAAGTGCTTATCCCGTACGTGAGGATATTGACAGAAAAAGGTTTTTGCTGTTTTTCATAAGCACAAATATTCCTGGAGTATGGCTTTGGTATTGTTAATGCAGATGTGAGCCAGTAGATGAACTGCAGTGGGTAAAAGAACTTCATACTGTAAGGATTGCAAGCAAACATTAGTACACACAGCACAGAATGAATGTTAAGTGCTGTAAATGTTATGCTGTAGTATAATTACTCCTTATTGTATTTGGGCACTTAGGATGCTAGGTATTCTGAATTGTTTTTTCTATGGGTGATTGGAGGTTTGAATCAATGAGGACCAAATGCCCTCATGAATAGGAGCTTCAGGGAGAGACTGGAAACTTTTCACCTTGCTTATGCACACAATTGGGTTTTTTTGGTTAAAAGCAAAAATATACCCAGACACAAGAAAGTGAAATGTATGACCATAATAAAAAATTTAAAAAAGAGTTGTAAAATTCTTCCAGCTGTTTCATCCTGATGTTCCAAAATTACTTTCCACCCTTAAAATTTGAGGTTTTTATATAATTTCTCTTGGCATGTGCATTTTTTTTTGGTGGTCATACAAACACTGACAATTTTCTTCCTGGCAGCAACTTTTATGTTTTGAGGCTGCTTAGTGTGCCAGACAGTAACCACCTGAATAAAATGTGAGCCTTCTAGCTCAGGCTTGGAGTCACTTGGGTAAGCTGTAACAAGTAGTTTGGCTGTTTGAGGATATGAGAAAAAAGTAAGGTACATAATTCTCTGTGTTATATTATTTTCCTACTTTTTCCCCTCTTGCGTGTGCTTCTGTTCCTCTCTGGTTTCAAAGTAGATAGCAGTCATTTCAGTAAGACCTTCTGCCATTGTTTGAACTGTACAGTGTCATTTATTATATGTGAACTTGCAGGTTGCACTTGTTTACTTTGATCTAGTGCTGTGAAACTCTGGAAACATGAGCTCCGTGCATGCTTCCAGGTTTAGATCTGTGTCCCATGGTTATCAGTCATGAATGCTATCTGCCTGAAATATTTCCTACTAATTTGCTATAGCTCAACAGCATTACCTCACAGCCTTTTAAGTGAGATGTATTGTGTAGTTCAGCTGAAGGTTCAAGATCCTGTCTCGTTCCATCATTATTTTAAGAAGAGTGGGGAATAAAAGGGAGATCCACAGAGGCAACTGTGTGTTCAGCCTCATAATAATGGATTCTTACACCTGAGGTTCCCGTGCTTGTAAAAGTCAGGGACCTCGTAGGTGCGGCGTGATCTCAAGATACAGATTTGCAGTCTCTCAAGCAGAGGAAGGAAGTAGAATTATTCCTTCTCATCAGTATCTATTCCCAACACTGACAATTTTATTCCAAAGGGTGTTATGCATGTATGTTGCACCGTCACACACACAAAAATGCTGTGTGTGTTTTCAAGAAAAGCAGCAGCCTCTGTGCCTTGCACAGAGCCCTTATCTGATAGATGTGATCTCTGTCTGTTAGATTGAGTTTCTGCAGCGGAGATTAGCAGTGCAACGTAATTACTTCTGGCTACAAAGTAGCTACTTCAGTGGCTTGGGCAACCAGCGTTTCTACTGATGGTTTTAGTAAGGGCTCTTTGAACTCCTCTGGCACTGTGATCAGGCATTAAAGATGTAAGCCATATTATGATTCATTTAAGACACTGTAGGCTGCACATTTGTCATGGTGCACTGGGGCTTCATTAAAAGTGAATGTTGAGTTACTGTATCTTGGTTCATTTGGAAAAAAGAAATTCTTTGAACCTTACATTTGGCATACTGATTAGGGTTTTTTTTGTTAAAGCTTTTGTTGCACTAAAATGTTGTGCTTTATATATCTGGCCATATGGAAAGCCAGGACAATGTAAAATACGTTTGTTTTAAAATCACTTATTGAGTGTTGAAGCTAAAACTGTAATTTTCTTGGTGCAACTTAATTGCTGTGAGTAATGCAAAAGGTTTGAATGTAATCCTTGGGAATGCTTAAGATACTAATTATATTCCAACCAGTCAAGGTGCACTTGTTTTGAAACTAGCCTGAGCTGGTCCCTTCTGAGAATCTGCTATTTCCACTGCCAAAGGTGGTGAAACAGATTGATTTCTATGAAAATGAGTTATCCTTCAAAACCAGGGACAGGCTTCAAAGCATAGCACTTTATGACAAAAGGTACTTTCAGATTAACAAAGCAAGGCCCAAATATGCTAAACACAAGAGCTCAAGTGCAGCAAATCTCATAGGTTTGGTCCAGGTCTAGCTGCTGACTGCTATATAGAATCCTAACTTGCTGATTAACTGTAGTTAAATTCTGGAAACTTAGTGTGTAAGTGACAGATTCTGCTTTATGGACTCTCCCTTTGAGGCAATTATTCTGTTAGTTATGGAGTTTCTGAGATTTTTTTTTTTGCATTGCCTTGCTTTACATTTCAGATACTTTTACACTTTTTTAATGCATTTCAGAAAACTATGGTTATTGAATTAGCCAGTTCAATGGACCACCCAGGTTCAATAGTATATCAAAGTTTTCTATTTTGGAATTGTGACTCTTACTTGCAAACATATTTCATTTATCTTTCTGAGTGATTTAAATAGCATTAACTCCAAGTCACATCCAAGTTTTCCTATTAGCTCTCCTGTAGTATATTCCCTAGTGGTTAAACTATACTTGTATTCTTTTTACCATTTATTCATCTTAGGAAAAAGTCTGTCAGCTACAGTTTTGAATGAGGGCTTCCTCCTCCTATTATTAGCGTTTGTTCTTCAGTCTAAATCTGAGAATAAATTCCATTCATATTGATACCCGTTCTAGTGATGCTATAAAGACTTCTTTTACAGCAATCTTCATTCATATCCAAATCTTATCCAATTGGTTTCATAGCAGGGACTCAGAAATGTCCAAGTAAAACTATTCTGTCTCAAAAGTTCTGACTTAGGTGGTGCTTTATTCATAACATCCCTTCTGCTCATCCATTTTGCCTTGTCCTTATACAAGTATAGCTTAGCAGGTCTGTGTTTCTTTCAAGAACACCAATGCCTTTGATATAATTTACTATTCCACTGTGCTTCTGTATCCCTAGATCACCTCATTTTATGTTCTAGGCCTCCTTTTTTTTTGCTTAAATTCCTCCTATTTTTTGTTTGGTTTTATTTTGTTAAACATCATCCACAACACCTCAGTTGTATTAGGAATGCTTCTTTTGTTAGTTTCATTGCCTGGCTGCTGTTTTTAATTAGTACTATGTTTAAAAAAAAACCAAAACAAAACAAACCAACACCCAAATCCTTGTGTCCATCTATTCATTAATATACTTGTCTGTATTTCTGTATCCTTACCTGATTTTTTATACCATTCATCTGTGCTAGCCAAATTAACTATAAATGTGATAGAAGGTTGTCCCAATTTCTGCCATCATTTTTAGTTTAAATTCTTCCATCAGTTTTGGCAGTGTTACTTGGGCAAGTTTACTTCTCCATTATTTCTGTAATAAAGTTCTGTCTCCAGAGGTGAGGTTATTTTTTTTTCTTGATACATTTCAGTGGCTGAATATCTTAAGATTATTCTAACTTGGAAGTGAGAGCTATTAATCCTTCAAACTTAATTCTCCTTTTTAGAGTACTTTAAGCTGAAGAATATGAGACTATATTTAAATAACCTAGAGAATGATATAGTAATTCTTGATCTGTTCCAGTAATAATTTGAATTGCCATTTGTTTAAATGGAACCTCCAGTCACCATGTTTTCTTTGGCTTTACTTAATTGTCTGCTGTATGGTCAGATCCCCATCTCAGAGAAGCACAGTTCTCTAAAATCTGCTTTCTGGATTCATCACAGACCAGCCCTGTTGGCCTTCACACAATCTCCAGTCATAGAAACCTGTCTGTCTTCTGGTATTGGTGTAAATCTCTTGTTCTGAGGCTCACTCTCATTACCCCCTCTACCTACCTACGTTCTTACCAATCACCCCTTAAGATACCTTTGGTTAAGTAGTCCTGTCTTTGGTATGATGATTGATACCGGAGTCATGCAGCTTTACAATTACATCATGCAGTTATGACCCAGGTGTTGTAAGTACTGTTTTGGGTAAGGAAGGCATGGTATCAAGCTGAACATTGTAATGTTTAGGTAATTTTTGTGGGTGAGTCATCAAAATAGTGGTGGTAATTATTCAGAATTTGGTGGCTAATATGGATATTGAACTGAAAATTTCATTTGGTATGTTACATTTATATTCCAAGTTAAAGTCCTTGTCTGCCTTCGTGCCTCTGTATTTGGGTGCCCTACTTTTCAAGTGACCTCTACCTCTCTATTGCCTGTGCCCTTTAATGATGACCTATTTGTTTCTGTGCCTTCAAGCTTAGTTATTTATTTGTATTTAAATAATTAATTAAGCCATATGTAGATAAGTAAAAGGTGTGACTGGTGATGACCTGACATAAGAAACACATTAATGAATGGAAAGAAAAAGCATGGGAGGAAGAAGTGCCATCAATAGAGCTGAACAGTTCAGTCTGAGGAAGCAAGGCTGCATTGAAGCAAATAGCATTCTTTTCCTGCAATATATCTCTGAAAGGATGCAGTGAGTTGAGGTTACAAACCATCTATTCATGCAAAAACCTTAGGATGGCTGTGGCATTAATTCTAATGCACTAGCTTAGTCCTTAAATTCTTCATTATGAATCTATCGCTGCCTCACCTTCTTTTGGAGTACTAATTTATGATTGCACAAGAATTGGAGTGCATGTGATGCAGACCTGGAAAAATGGGCTGAATATCAGCAAAGTGACTTGATGTAGGAGAAACCTGGAGACAGAATGATGGGTGCTTTGTACCCCCTTATTTTCTCCCTCTCGATATCTAAGCATAGTTTTCGGTTCTTCACAGTCTGTCATTTTAGGGCAATGTATCAGATCACTCCAAATGTCATTTGGTGTCTTTGCACACCTATGAGAGTGGTATTTGCTAAACAGCATAGTCACAGTTTGATAGCTGGTGTCAAAATACAGCCAAGTAGTTTGTTGTGTGATGAGTGCACATGATGTTCCCAGTAGCTGTTTTTACACCAACGTCTGCCTTCCCAAGATTTCTCTTCTTCCTTTGGACACTGGTCTTTCCTTTCCTGTGCTTATTTCCCCTTGCTCCTTATAAAGCTGCTACAGGAAAGAAAATGTGATTGTAAAAGCTAAAGAAAGGCAGCAACTGATTGTGCATTGTACATAGGACTCTGGTTGAAGAGGACAGCTCTGAGCAGGTGACCTTGAAGTAGAAGGATGTTGACATACAAGGGTCTTTTGTATTCATGCAGAAAGGCAGTGAGAAGAGGGGCAGCCTCTTGGGGCAGTGACACCTAGTGCTGAAACACCACGTGATGCTCTTAAAACAGCATGAGTACCTGCCAGGAAAAAGCAGTAGTTCTTTACAAACATGGTCTCAGAAATTCTGTAGTACACCTGAAAGTGGTAACATTACAGCTGATGACTGCATTCAGACCTCTTAGAATTGAAGGTAACATTAAGTGCATACTTCAATATGACCTACAAAATTACATCCAATCCTTGATTTTTTTTTTTGGTAATCATTTATACCTGTGAACGAATATAGCAAATGTGTATAGATACAGAGAAATGTGGTTACTGTAGGGTGCTTCATTGTATAGATTGTTAGTTCTCCTTCCCTTTTTGTACTCTACCTGCTTAGTAATGCTGTTGTCAATGCTGCCTTGAAACATCCTTCAGGGAAAGTAAGTTATGGTAACATCATGGAAAACTTGTGTAGGATTCCTTGTGTTTCTTATGGTAACAGAATCCATTCAAAATCATTTGTCTTCCTTTCTTCAGTTCCTTTTTTGTATTGTATTGCCTGCTTCCTATTTGTGGTTTCTGTAGGACTGGGAGAATAATAATAATAACAACATACTGATCAGATGTTCGGCCTTGTAACCTCTGAAGCAAAGTTCCTTCCTGTTAACCAAATGACAATGCTGGTGGTGTCCCTCCATACAAGTTCTCGCTTGGGCAATATTCTCTAAAGCCAGTGAAGCTGAGTAGGTATGAATTCAGGGCAGAGTTTGGCCTTGAAGCATTTATTGAAGTTAGGAACCTTGACGTTTTGGCCTTTTGGATTTTCTAACGCTGGTGTCAGGAGTACAGGCTTACAGCTCTTCCCGAGCTCTTTGGCATGCGGTGTTTCTGTCCATACTGTGTCTGTTGGGGTCCTTGCTGTATTCCTGAAAAGTGCAGTTAATAATCCGGCTGATGGCCGAGGCACGGCCACGTGCAGGTTGGGTCTGGGCTGCACAAAGGATCTGCTGGACTCGTGCTAAGGTTTGTTTGCTTGGGCCATCCCCTCCAGTGTGGGAGTGATCTGAAACTTCCCCTCAGTTTTCTACTGGGGGTACGCATGTAAACAAGGTTTGTAGGTGAGTCTTGGCTTTGGCGGAAGTTGGGAATTGGTTGATTAATTCAAAAAATAATATACCCAGATTCTAATTGAAAATGCTGATGTGATGAGATTTTTTTTAAGATAAGCAATCTGGACAACTTATTTGATAAAGTCCACTTAGTATACTGCCCATAACCATTTTGATATAGTTGCTCAAAAAACCTAAAACGTTGTAAGAGGGTTTTTTTTGAGCTGTGTGAAGCTAACAAAGAAGGATGTGCTACTAAATAAAGTCTTCAAATCCTTGTCTCTAAGGAGTTTTAACAAAGTTACTTAGGAATAAAATAGTAAAGTCCTTGGGAATTACCATTACTAGCAGGAAAAGGGTCTTAAAGAGATTTTTTGTTGTTTTAAAAGCATTACCATACATGCATGTGCATGCTAAAAATCTATTTTCAATCAAAAAATTTTTTAATAAACCAGGCTTCTCTAAATTATCTGCAAAAATTATTTTAGAATTAAATTGTTTTCAATGAATGAATGAAGTGAATGGTGGAAGTTGGAATAGTTTTCTATAACAAAAAGCTTTGAATAAAGTTATGAATGCTTTTAGCTGAAGTAAACTGTAGAATAGCATTAATGAGCTCTCAGTGCTACAACCTTTGACTTGCAATTAACATTTTTAGGTTACCCAAAACTTTTTAAAGTAGTTGAAGTTCACGTAGTTTGTTTCCAGCAAGGCTGATAAGAACATATTTAAAAAAACTTAAAATATTGTAGCTTTCCAGGGGATCAAATCTTATCTTTCTCAAGGTGACCTTGCATTTATTTTTCTGGGCAGCCCTCTGCACTTGCACTTATTTTTCTGGTGACCCCCTCCTGCCCATAAAGCTTACAGTGATTTACAGCTTTAATATTAAGGAAATCAACCAAATTGTTAACATTAACGTTAATTTTAATAGGAAAAAAACTTTGTTTTACTTCCCTGTAACCCCAAACAAACCCCAACTTTTAACCTAAAGCCAGCAGCCTGGGCTAGGTCTCCAGACCTACGGGTTTCTGAAACACACAACCCAAAAAAAAAAAAGGAGCCGAAGTTTTTAAAGGGCCTGGCTTTAAACGCGGAGCGAGGATCGCGCTGGGGCTGGGGACTCATCATGCCAGGGCGGCGGTGCGTGTGCCCGGGCGCCGGTCTGCGGCGTTGTGTCCCGGCGGAGCTGCGCGGCCGTGCCGTGCCGTGCCGGGCCCGGCGGTGCGGTGCGGTGCCGGTGGCGGTGCGGGCGCGGAGCGGAGCCGAGCGGAGCCGCGCTCTCCTCCCGCTCGCTTTCTCTTTCCCCCTCTCTCGCTCGCTCCCTCTCCCGCTCGCTCTCCCCCCTCCCTCCCTCGCTCTCTCGCTCTCCCTCTCTCTCTCCTACACTGCCAGCCCCTGATGTGATGGCGAAGAAACCCCGTTGACAAGGCACTGCTTTTTCATGACGGTGAGTTTCCCTTTGAGTGTATTATAATTTTGTGATAAAAATTTCAAGGAAAAAAAAAACACACAACCTCCTTCCTCCCTTCCTTCGGGGAGGGAAAAGAGAGGGGGGAAATCTATCTCCAGACAGACAGAAAAGAAAGAGGAGCAAATTAACAACCAGGAGTTGCCAAAACCAGGATATTAGGTTTCAGCCCAGAGAGCTATTGGCTCTGGGGCTATGTATATAAATATATATCTAGAGAGAGAGCGAGCGAGAGGGGAGACGAGGAGGAAGAAGAGGGATATTTTGTGGGTGGCTGTTGTTTGGGCAGATGTGGATTCACATGGAAATGAACTATATATATTAATTTTTTTTTTCCGCGAGGCTGGTGGTGGTGGCTGCTGAGGGCACTTAAAAAAAAAGTTGTTTCTTAAAATAAAGGCGGGGGGGGGGGGGGGGGGGGGGGGGGGGGGGGGGGGGGGGGGTGAAGGGAGAGATAAGGTTTCAGGTCCAGGCTGATAGCTGCAGAGAGGGGAGAGGTTTGGGGTGGGTTTTTTTTTTTTTTTTTTTTTTTCCTTGCTGATGCCATGCAAATTCAGGAGAGGAGGGAAGAAAAATCTCTTTTAATGACTCATTGATTGAGCCGGTTTAAAATTAGTTGTTGTTGTTGTCTTTTTTTTTTTCCGCCCCCTTGATGGCCATCAAGAGAGGGATGGAAAGAGGAGAGGAGGGAGAGAGAGTGTGTGTGTATGTGTGAGTGTGAGAGAGTGAGAGGGAGAGAGGGGGATAGAGAGAGTGTGTGAGGGAGAAAGAAAAATAATCTTTTCAAATCTCCTCCCTCTTTTTTTTCCCCCCTCGTTTCTTTGCTTTTCTCTAAAGCTCTGTGGTCTGTGAAACAGTCTTTTCTTCCTCCTCGTCGGGAAAATGGAGACACTTCGTCTCTCTCCTGGCTGTGCAGCTGGGAAGGATTTTTCTTTTCTTTTTTCCTTTTTCGCTCGTGGCTTGATTTTTTTCTTTCCCCCTTCCACTCGCCACCACCCTAATCTTGTCTTTTCTTTGAGCTTGTGTCTCAGAGTTGTACCTTCTGGGGATTTATTTTTCACTCATTTCCTCGTTTTCGGTGTCGCCACTAGATTTGATTTGATTTGTTTGGTTTTTTATTTGCAATTTCCTTCGAATCGCTCCGTGCCTCCTGCTTTTAACCGAGGAATGGAAACGGTGCCGCTTTTTGTGGGTGCGCGAAATGCTCGGGCGGTAGGTTTGGGCTATTGCGCTTTTTTTTTTCGCCTTTTCGGGATCAAGTTTTTCGATGTGCCTTTTATTTTATTTATTTAATTTTAAAATTTTTCTTTTGGAGAGAGAAAATATTTAATTGTAACGCCTCTTTAAAACACAATAAAGCGTCTTTTTCTGGAGTGACCCCTTTGGCTTCGCTGTAGCGTGGATGTGAATCTGATCCTTTGTGCTGCTGGGATTATTTTGCGTAAAAGAAGCAATGTTTTGTAAATAGATTTTTTTTTGTTTTGTTTTTTTAACTTGTGGCTTAAATGAGTAGTCGGTTGTGAAGGGGGTTTTCTGAAATGGTCACTGTTCACGTTTGTTGAGTCATGGGCGATATTCAGTATCTAAATTATATTTTGCTTTTTGGTATTAATTACAAAATGCAGTTACAGATGATGGCAGAAAATAGGTATAGAGATGTTAAGAGCCGGGCAAAATCGAACAGCACGTAGAGGGCACGTTTATATATACTTAGAGCTGTTCCTCGTCACTGTGGGGAGGAATGAGATGTGGAGGCCTCTGCCTTTCGCCATTCTCTGCTCGCCGCTGCTCTCGTTCCCCGGCCTCGGCAGCGCGGAGTGGCCGAGGGACTGCAGGGGAGAGAGGAGAGCGGCTCCGGCGGCGGCCCCGGCCGTGCCCGGGCTCGGTGGGCAGGCAGCCCCGGCTGCGCGGGGGAGCGGGAAGATGGCGCTGCCTGGCTCCCTGCCAGCGTTTGTTGCGCAGTTTCACCCGCTCTCCTCCCCCACGGGCGCCATTTTAAGGTCCTTTCTGCTGTCGCCGCGCCGTGTGGGGCGGTGCCGTCGCGCCCAGCTCGGGCCATATTTCTGTGTCTTGTCTGGAAAGCATTTCTGCTTTGGGAGCCGAGATCTCCCCGAAATCCTAAAAGCCTTGCTTCCTTCCCGTGCCCCCCCACCCGCTCCTTTCCTAATCCTTGGTCACCGTTTTGAGGAGCGGTTAAACAGGCTTGGCTCGCACGGGCCCGTGCGCGCAGCTTCAATCCCGCCAACATCCCTTATGAGCTTGTGTTCTTACCTCGGAAATGAGTGTTTCTTGTCGTTCAGCTTATAGCAATTAAAGAAAGACTTGAAGGAACATCTTTTTTTTGAACGATGACCTCAAAAACCCCCCATGCATTAAAAAGAAATCCACCTTTAAAAAATCCTGTGTAGTGGATAGGGCAAAGTATTCTTCATTGAAGAGGTTTCAGTAGTGCTTGTAAAAATAAAAGCATAGGTAATTTTTTGCTGGGTGGGTTGCTTATTTTGTTGCTGTTGCTGTTTTAGTGATATTTTGGTGGGGGGAGGGACTAGCATATTTTCAAGTTTTTATTGCTCCTTTATGACTGAGGGGAAGCTGCTTTTTCCAAATTACTTAATTTGGCAGCTCAACCTTAATATATTTTTAAAGTTTTGTTTTGGTGCTGTTTTTAGAAAGAGCACTGCAAATACTTTTTTTTTTTTTCAAAACCACCTTTTTTTTTAACACATTTCTGTATGATCTGCTCAGAGCTCATGAGGCTTGAGTACTTCACCTGTACCTGGGAAGAGCAAAGTGTGCTGCCAAACCAATTTATGCTGTGCCCGCTAAGGAGTGTGGAATGCTTGTGTAGTTCTTGGATTTATGTTTTTTGACACATCAGAGGAGGGCTTCCCCATTCTCATTGCTCATTCCTGATAGAAGTGGGAGATTTTTTAAAATTCAGGAATAACCTTAAGGCTGTTTAAATTTTTTGCCTGTTGAAGGGTTTTAAACAACATTTCTGTGAAATACACTTATTGCTTGGAACGTACCAAAAAATTGTCCGGGTATAAACTGTCTTTTTAAAGCATTTTAGGTTTGAAAAAAACACCAGGTATGAAACTTAAATTCTTTACGGCTTCCCCATTCTCATTGCTCATTCCTGATAGAAGTGGGAGATTTTTTAAAATTCAGGAATAACCTTAAGGCTGTTTAAATTTTTTGCCTGTTGAAGGGTTTTAAACAACATTTCTGTGAAATACACTTATTGCTTGGAACGTACAAAAAAATTGTCCGGGTATAAACTGTCTTTTTAAAAGACTTTCCTGGGGACTTGTTAGCATTTTAGGTTTGAAAAAAACACCAGCTATGAAACTTAAATTCTTTATGAAGATTTAGAATGTGGAATACAGTATTTGTTCACATATTTCAGAAATCTTACATAATTAAATTCACTGCTTCTTGAATGATTATATTCGTTAATAGGAATCTTGGAATCAACGTGGTGAACTGCTTCTTGAAGTGATTATATTCGTTAATAGGAATCTTGGAATCAATGTGGTGAATTTTTTTTTTTAATGGTAGTATGCTTTTAAATAATAAAATTTTTATCATATGCCTAAATGTGTGGAAGACTGTGTGTGTTTTTTCTTCATTAATTTGTGAAAATAGTGAAGAAATGGCAGAAATGGGATAAAAATGACCAGTTTATATTCTCTCAGGGCCTAGTACTTGCCAAATTACTATATATAATCTGCCCACTGGCCTGCTTGCATTAAGCACAGTATATTCTCATTTTGCATTGAGATCTTGGTCGGCTACTACTTAAATATTCCAGACCCGTTCTTTTTAGATGAATTTTTGTCTGTCTGAGCTTAAAAGTTTGTGGCTGTTGTTACAAGTAGCACTTTGCATTGGGTGTCTCTTGTTTACTTTGCTGGAGAAATGCAGCGCTCACCGTGTTGATACAGGAGCCTGGTTGTGCTTCCATTGATACACCTCGGCTTACTCACTGGTGCGATGCTCGGGTGTTCAGGTTTGTGCTTGTTTTGTGCTTACTTTGAGTGCTTGCATTGCGTGTGATACCTGTATCCTCAAGAGTTGAAAATGCTCTTGCTAAATGTGTGGACTCGGTTGAGGTCAGTGCTGCAGAGATGGTTGTACTGTAGCTAAGTATTTACATCACTTTATGGATGTGCAGCTTTCCTGACCCAGCTCCTTCACGTGTCCTTTTCCAGTACAGTTTATGTATTTAGTTTAGTTGTACTGAGAGGACAGCCCCAAGGCTGTGCTAGTATAAGCTGCATTTCCAGTTTCCTAGGTACCTTTCTGTTTTCATGAAGTTTTCCAGCAGAGGTAAGCCCATAGGATAGAGCTGAAGAGCTCTGCAGTCAAGGATGCCTGGGTGTGCTGTGCTGCCTGCTGCCTCTCCAGAGTTTCGCTGGTGTAGTTCCACATGGGTTCCATCCAGCAGAGGTAAGCCCATAGGATAGAGCTGAAGAGCTCTGCAGTCAAGGATGCCTGGGTGTGCTGGCTGCTGCCTCTCCAGAGTTTCGCGGGTGTAGTTCCACATGGGTTCCGGGGAAGTTGTATGTGCATAACTGCAGTTGGGTTTCACAGCGAGGCTCTAATGGTCAATGATTGTGCCTCTTCACGCTGCATTAGGCTTGTGGTAAACCTAATGGCTGCTGCTTTTTAGGGTAGATGTAGCAGCCAGCGTGAAAGTGTGTCACTGCTGTCTAAGTAGTGGCTACAGAGCAGGCATAAGAGCCTCTTTGATAATGTAGTCACTGTTCAGAGAGTTGGCAGAATTCCTTACAGTGGTTCTGCTGGAATAAGCTGCATCTGTACTTGAAAGGTTTTTTTATTGCCACATACCCGGTCCAGCATAGACATGGGGATTGTCTACAAAAACAAGTGTTTTCCTTTCTTATGGTAGAGGAAAAGCAGTGACAATAATAAACTGTTCTAACATTCATTGTGACCCGCCACTGTTTTAATTTGAAAGAGTGAGCAGTTTTGGGAGGGCCCTTGTTACACCACCAATGCATAAGCACCAGCCTGAACTGAGGTTTTTTCCAGGTCATCACATAGATAAATGAATATGTGTATCTTTTTTTTTTCAAATGTTAATTTTTTCCTGCTTTCATAGTTAAAAAAAACCCCAACTACTCTGTCTGTATTATTTTGCTTTATTTGAGAATTGTTGAAGTTTTAGACAAAATGAAGATTACCATTAACTAGCACAGAGAGACTATCAAGTTTTTTTTTTTTTCTTTTCTTGCACTAGTTTAAAAATGTTCTAGGGTTAAGGGAATTCTTACCAAAAGAAATAGAAAGAAAGCAGGCAAAATCACGGTAAAAACCTAGCATAGTAACCTTTCTCTCATTAAAGGTATTGAGAAGGGGTGGTGCAGTGGAGGGGGAAGATCTGGAGAGGAGGATTTAACTACATTGCAAGAGACTGATTATTGTTGTAAAGTCTAATCTTATGCCTTGTCTCAGGTGGAACTTGCAGTAGTTTTACTGTGAACTTGATCCAGGCATGGAATTTCAAGATCTGGTGTTGGAGCTTGAATTTATTGAGAAAACTTCTGCAGTTGACTTATCTTGGCCCCACTGAAATAGGTGCAGGCAATCAGCAAGGCATTGGCTTCAAGAGAAGGACAGCATGGAGGTTTTTCAGCGTGGATTTGGGTTGTTGCTATGGGCTACACTGTTGAAGTAGTTACACATCTGTCAATTAATCCTATTCAGTTTTCAGTAGATTTCCCAAACATAATAACTGAAAGGAGTATAAATGGCTGTTCAGCTAATTATTGGCAGTTGGTAGCAGATACTAACAGCTCATCTGAACCATGCTTGTGGCAAAGTTTGGTTTTTAAGCTAGTATGGACTAGAGTGGCAATGAAAAGGTATTAATTGGTCATTGGTTTATAAATCAACTGAGAAATGTTCAGTTCATAAAGAAGTTACGGGCCTGCAGAATATTTTTTCAAAAAACTCTGAAAACTATATGCTCACAAGTATGAAACTTGAGTATTCTTGAGTAGAAACAAGGTAAAAGCCATCTGAGGGACTGACTGAACATTTCTTGGAGTATTATTTTGCACAAAGAACATATGCTAGCAGTCTGTCCTATAGCATACAGTAGTTTGTAGAAATGCTTCAGAGGATCTAATATCTTCCAATATCTCCTTAAGGAACTGCTGAGATCCCGCCTCCTGTGTGTCTTGTGGGATGAAACCAGGACCTTCCAAAGTGTTCTATGAATATTGAAATTCCTGAGGAATTGTGTATGTGATGAAGCATCTTGGAAGACAGAGTCCAAAACTGGCCATAGCATAGTGATGAGGGTGGTCACTGCTGGAGGAGAGGTCTGAGCCCGGCCTTCAGCCTGGGGAATCCCATGGAATAAGGAAGCATCCTGGCTTCCAGGCTGAGGTTATTCTGGATTTTCTCTGTGTGGTTTAAAAAAAAATCTGTTTCCTGATAGAAGTCTTGTTAAGATATTGATATTGCCAAGAGCAGCTGTGGATGCAGTAGGAAAAAAATTGTGTGGAACAAATCAGAAATTCTGTGCTGAACATGTGTATCTCAGGGAAACCGATTGTAGATAGCCACACAGGGTGTTCACATGTGTACTTGTAGCTGCATTAGCCATCACTATCATACATACTGTTAGTTGAACTGTACATTTCCTTTTCCCCCCTAACATATTAAAATATCACTGTAGTTTTTGGAGGTTTGGTAAGTTACTGCATTTGGCAAACTCAAATGAGTATTTTTTTAATGGTGTACTAAAGGGAAATGTAGGAGTTGGATAAACAGCCTATTGTAGGTTGTCTGTGGTTTTTATTTACCCTTCTGTGTGTGGAGCTGGATGTGTAAGCATCCTGCCTGTGCTCTTAGGTGTTCATCTGCCAGATATTAAAAACCATGAAGAGGCATAATGTTGTGTCTAGCAATTCTTGAGAGGAAGCACTTTTGTGTTTCTTTTCTTGTTGCTATTTTTCTGATTCCTGAATTGTTTCTGGTTTTTAGAGGAGTTTTTCTTAGAAAGGTTTTCATAATTCTTTTGAATATTTAAAATTACCAGTTTCTTCTTATACTTGTTGCATACAGATGTCTGAAATATTGATGATTAAATTCAGTTCTACAGCTAATTTCAAGTGTTGCAAATTCATCTTAAAAGTACTATTCAGATTCTTGGAATAAAAACTTATTTTTGAATATTAAGTAGGTAATGCTTGCATAGTGGACTGTGTTACTAGATTAGAATTCCAAATTTTTTAGTTTTTTAGCTGTATTTTAGAGCACAGTTCCTGGTAGATTTTGCAGCAGTGTAGTGACTGCTTCTTTTGATTACTCTGGAAAAGAAAATATTTGTATGGAGTAATTCCATATTGTAGGATATAAGTACAGCATAGTTAGTTTATGCATGAATAGTAAGTCTTTGTGTTTTACAAAGTGCATTTTAATTTTTTTTCCCCTTACTTCTGTTGTCTTGAGATGACCATTTTTGGATAATTATGACTTCTGAGTGAGGTTTTAGTTTGCAATGAGTTTTTCAATATTTACCTCTTTTCCACTGAGTGCTTGTCATTATTCTGCAGCATATAATTTTTTTACAGTAATGAGAGGGGGAAGTGGAAATCCCTCTTAATATCAGTATTCTATCCATGTAAAAATCAATTTCTTGAAAACAGAGGGCTTGACATGGTAAGCAGCTCTTAAGTTGATTATAAGGTAGAGTCTTGGTTGTTTACAAGAATCTGAAATTCACTTCGCAAGATACTAGATTGCTCAAAAGTAGTATTGACATGAAATTTAAGAATAAACTATATGATAAAAAGTGTTTGAGTTTATATTCTTTTCTTACACTTCTGTGTTGCAGAGAAAGCAGATGAGGTCTGGTTGTTCCTGTGTAGGAGTTCCCTTCACTGAATCCGAGGCTGCCTGTTGGATAGGAACCTGAGAGGGAGCTGCCAGGGTAAGGCAGGCAGTGGTTACAGCACCTGAGCAATCTGAAGTGCTCACTAAGGTGATATATTACCCAGTGGATGATGAAACAGCTTGGAGTTTTTCTCCCTAGTTCAGAAGCACACAGAGCAAGATGCTAGCTGTGGAAATTAATGAGAGTTTTGGTGGAAATTTGTGTTAGGGAAGGACTTCAGTTCTGAATGTTTGATCTCTGCAGTCAATGTGGAGGCACTCAATGCTGCTGCAATCCTTTTATGTAATTTAGCAAGGAATGGATTGGGTTAAATAGAGTTATCTTACATCCGTGCTCAGAAAGGTTGTGAGGGATGAAAATGCCACAAATTTGATGTAGCACGCTCAGTTCACAGCAGTACTGCTCTCTGCAGTGACTGTTGCAGTAACTGATTTCCTCTGGTTTTGTTGTTGTGGTGATTGTTTTTCCAGTGCAATGCATTTCTTCAGATATTCCATACTTCTGTTGAGATTTTAGATTAAAACTCTGAATGGAGGATGATAGAGCAACAGAGCAGATTTTATAGGACAGGTTCATTATGAAGCCTGAGAGAGAGCTTGTCAGAATTCCTGCTGACAGGATGTGTACAAAGGCATACTGAAGTTGTGAGGATCAGTGGGTGTATGTCATAACTCCAACAGTAATTGCTTCAGGTGCTGGGGATGTTACTGTGTGCAAGTTTGATTATCTCCCTTTATAAAGGTTTAGCTACAGCAGTCATTACCTTTCTCTAAAGCATTGATTTCCAAAGGTCAGTGTTCACTCTCAGGAATCATGCTGCCAATCAGGAATTGATCTTGTGTATTTGCACAAAACTCTTAAGTCTAGATTTTTCCAACAGTTTTGCAGATAGATTTATTTATGTGTGAGTTAACAAGTTTTGATGTTGATTATGCCACACTTTCTGGAAATGACTGTCTGGATGTTGCTCTTCTAAGCTATCCATTAGCTTGTGCTTTTTACAGGATGTTAAAATAGTGGTTTATTGCTTTGTATCTGAAATGATCTATTAAGGCTGTATGAAATTATAAGTGACTTTGAGAAAGGAAGATAATTTTGTTGCAAGCTTGAATATAACTTGAGTAAATTTAAAATCCAGTGTTTACAGCTCGTAGAATATGGATAGCATACGAAGTGTGAGTATTTGGACTGCTTCTGGGCAAATCTGGTTTTAATGACACTGCAGGATGTAGGCCCTGCATGTGTTACATGATACTGTGCATTGTGTAGCCTTTTGGTTAAAAATTTAAGGTGGTGAGGACCACTGGGGGTTACCTGGCCCTGCCCCTTGCTGTAAGAAGAGCAAGCTTCACAGAACAGGTTGGCCAGGGCCATTTGATTTTTGAAAATTTCCGAAGAGGGTGATTCCACCCTCTTGCTTGAACATTCTTGTTTGTGAACATTTTTCCTTGCATCTGGTTGGGATTTTTTTTGTTATGTGTTTTGGCTCTTGCTTTGTGTCTTGCTGTGTGCTGATGAGAGGCGACCTGCTTAGCTCATCTTAGTTCCCCTTTTAGCAGGCTGCAGGTAGCACTTGGGTTTGCCTGCTGTTGTCCAGGCTGAAGAAAGGCAATTCCTTCACATGGCCACATGATTTTACTTGCACTCTCAGGCTCCTTCACATTGTTTTGTATTTGTTTTAAGGGCAGTGTCTGTGTTTAAAAGCCAAACAGATTTCAGCTGGGAGTGCTGATAGAAAAGGGAATAATTGCTCCACTGGCTCGCTGCCTGCGCTGTGGTAATGTGAGGGTGGTGGTTGTACTCACGTGTGCTACAGCCCCATGCGTGCTTTAAGCTGACTGAAGCACTGCTGCCTTCCCCTGTGTTTAACTATCCACCTACCTCATTGCCTCTCTTGTGCTGGCACTAGTGCCGCTGTAGCCCTGTGGCAAGCCAGAACCAGTCAAGGAGCTCATCCTGAGCTGAAACAAATCAATGTATTTTATCAGATCAGTTTTTTGTTCCAGATGACTCTTTAAAGCCTTGAGCTGACCCAGGGAAAGTGGATGAGAGGAGGGCAGGACTGCTCTATTCATCTTCTATTCCTCTTTGCTCTGTAGTAGGTCAGAGTGTTGAAATTAAGGCAGAGGCTTTAAGGCCAAGTAATAAGAGTCTCCCAGAGGACTGGCTTGCATAGCTGGGATTTCCTTGTCAGTTTTATTACTTTCAGCTTCTCTTATGTTCTGTTCGGGAACGTGTGATAAAGGGCACTCTGGTTATTTCCCAGAAGGGATAGGCAGGGCTTCTTGCACAAGTACATGCTATCCAAATTGAAATACATCCTATATTCACCAGTGTGGTAGCAGAGATACGAAATAAAATGGTAGGGGCTTTGCTAATAAGCTGCAGGGAATATCTGTGCTGGGTTGTGCCTAATTAGTGAGGATTGCCCTTTGTAAATTAGTTGGATGCACCAGCAGGGCTGAATTTGGCCTACTTCTTATAAGCAGATTTTTTTGTGGCTTTTTTTTTAAAGACACTGTAGACCAGTATTGATAATTAGATGTTTGCTAGGCTACATTGTAACAGTGCTCCAGCAGGTTGTGTGACTCTCGCCAAAGTGTATTTTCCCCAGGTGTCTCTAGTGTGGGCTCTTGGCAGGACCCTGGATGCATTGTTGGGTCCCAGTGGCCCAGCCAAGCCTCACCTGGAGCCTCCACTGGCTGAAGTCTCCAAAGACTGCTCTAAATACAGAAGTGAGTCAATGTTTAAGAGTCTAGGCCAATGGTCTCCGAATGTTTTTGATTGCACACCCCTATTGGTAAGATTTATGAGCCCATGCATCCCCAGTATACTTATATTAATTTGCATACACAAGTATATGTGTGTATATATCCATATACTAGTGAAGTTTTAATATTTTCTTCTTGCACCCCGCTGGATTTTCTTGCACACATCCTGCTTTGTAGACCACTGGTTTAGGCTTCATAACTCTTTAACTTCACTAATTGTGTCAGATTTTATTTTCAAACTCATGACTTAATATGGTTTATACCCATTTTGTACACCACTCATTGCTTTGGCCCACTATATGTTAACAAACAGTGAGGAGGACAGAGAACTAGAAAAGATAGTTGGCAAGAAAAATGACAAACTTTTCTATCGTTTGTGCCATAGAAAAGGCTTTAGGAAAATTCCTCAGGACAGGCTTGCTTTTGTTAACACACTTTTAAATGATCATCTGTGTCAAGGTCACATGTTGCTCAAATTCCTCTTTTCGAAGTAGACTGAATGACTACTTTTGGGTGTGCAAGTGCTCTGTATGATTGTTTGCTGCTGCCTCTGTTGCTCTCCTGAAATTGACAGGGCACTAATCGTTTGGTAATCCTTGTTGAAAATAGGCATTAGTTAAAAAGGCTTAAACCTCCAGTGTCCTGGTTTTGGCTGGAACAGAGCTGAATTTCTTTCCAGTGGCTGGAACAGTGCTGTGTTTTGGCTTTAGGATGAGAATAACACACTGATGTTTTAGTTGTTGCAAAGCAGTGCTTGCACTAAGCCAAGGCCTTTTCAGCTTCTCATACTGCCCCGCCAGTGGGGGGGCTGATTTGTATTTGGAAGTAATAATAAATACTGTGCCCAGGACTAGAAGGGCCTGCCTCCAGCTGGGTGAAGGAAGGGTACTACCAGGTGTGACTGCCAGGTTTATTGGACTGTGGATTTGGCACGTGAAAGCCACAGGACATACAGGACTCATTTTCACAGCAACCTCATAGACACCTAGGCAAAAAAGTTGGCTATATCTTCTTTTCTGTCATGCATCAACCTCTAGGAAAATCCAACAATGCAATTGATTGTTAAAGGCCACACTGAGAGCAAGGGATACTGGGACATACAGACATGGGGATAGGGGATCTGCTGAAAGGGCTGGCCCTGCCCAATCAAATTTTTCACGTACTGTAGAAGTGGATAAAGTTCTTATAGTGCACACAGAAAATTGTGTTGTGGAAGGCAATCTGGGTTGTTCCTGTCTCAGGCAAAGGCAGACACATCCATGGGATTGGATTTGCTCAAGGACCTGGGTGCACTTAGTGGGTAATGCCGAGGGATGAGGAAGTCTGGTATATACTCAAGAGGACTTGATTTTGGGGTAGAACAACCAATGAGGATGTTACTTGCTATGTAATACTGTATTTCTAATCACTACTCTGGTTGCTTTATGCCATATTAATGGTACTGCTGTGAGGGTTGCTCAGATAAATGAAGAATGAGTGCTAATGAAACTGGGCAAAGTGCAGCGGTGATAGAACCAGACTTCAGCCTGTATAATCCCAACAGCACTTACCATCTCTTTCACTTTGAAGGAATGATATGACAGATGGAGCCCAAAGTCCTGGACTAAATGAACTCATGGGATGGTCCATAGATTATGAACCTGTATGTCTGCATATATGGAAAAAGACAGGAAAGGTAGTTGTGATTATGTGGGATGCATTGGAGAGTTGTGATTATGTGGGATGCATTGGGACCTGGGCATGATGACATATAGAATAGGGGGTCGACATTGTCCTGGTTTTGATTGGGGTAGTTACTTTTCTTTCTAGTAGCTGTGTTTTGGATTTAGGATGAGAATAAAGTTGATAACACACTGATGTTTTAGTTGCTGCTGAGCAGTGTTTGCACCAAGTCAGGGACTTCTCACCTTCTCACAGCATCAGGGAGGGGACTGGAGGTGTGAAAGAAGCTGGGAGGGGAAACAGCCAACATAATCAGACCCCAGCTGACCAAAGGAATGTCCCATATCACATGGCATACTGTGGAACAATAAAACTTTATTATCTGTGGTAAGCTCGTAGGAGTTTGCAGTGTGTTGGGTAGATTTTTCTTGTATCATGTTTAGCTAGTAAAGCTAAGTGTATGTTTAGTAAATAGTGAAGATTATGTATTGCTATTAGGATTTTCTCACAGCAATATTTACATGCATTTTGTTTTCCTTTTGATCATTCTATGCATATTTTGAAGAATTCAGTGAATTTAACAAATTTATCTTAATTTGTGTCAGTTGTTTTAATACCTCCAGAATATTAATTGAAGGAAGTTCTGTGGTGTCACTTCAGCTAATAGTGAACCCTTATTATGATAAAATCACAGAGAATAAGCAAAGAAATTTTATGATGTTTAAATAATGCTGTCAGTATTTCCATAGACACATGGGTTGGGCTATACAAAAGTAGGTTTGCAGTGTCAAAACAGGGATAATTTTGACTTTATGTAAATTTTTGCTGTTGGTTAGCTGGGAGACTTTGGAACCTTGTTCTTGAGAGATGGGTATGTTTTCAGCAGTTAGAGGAAATAACAGCTTTCTCTAAGTAGTACTGTCAGTACAGTTACAGCAGAATGCTAATTGCTTATTAATTTATTCTTACTAGTACACATTTATGTTTAAATTTCATGATGTCATATTATGCCATGCCAATTGCTTAGCATTGAATTGTAATATCAGTGCTCAAGGTGGTGGATCTATGCAAGAGTAAGCAGCTGGAACACTGAATCATGGGAGAAATTGCTTTTCTTAATGTGCATAATCACCTCATGAATGCTGATTTTTGTCAACATTGAGGCAGTTATCTGTAGCTGTGCTTTGTTTTTCTGTTCTCCCTGAGAGGTGATACTGAATGATCCTCACACTGGCTCCATTTCTGCTTTACCCTCACTGTAAGCTAAAGCACAGAGACAGAAAAAATCCAAATAAGTCTCTACAGTACAGAGGACACAGTACCCTCTGCTAGTCTACAATTTAAGCTATTTTCAGAACCAGTGGAGTATAGAAAAATTTCAGGAAAGAGATTACAGAATCACAGGACAGCCAAGGCGGGAATGAATACCTGAGACCACGTTATCCCCTGTCCTGCTCAGAGTAGGCTCAAGCAGAGCAGCTGCTCAGGGTCAGAGCAGGCAGGTCAAGGCTGTGGTCCAGCCATGTCCTGGGTATCTCCAAGCATGGAGATTCCATTACCTTGCTGAAAAACTTGTGCCAGTATTTGTCTACCCTCAGAGTTTTAAAAAAGGAAAGTTTTTTCTTTTGTCTACGTTGACTTTTTGGTTTATGTTTCGATTTGTGCCCTTTGCCTCTTGTTCATTTCCTGGGTACTACTGAGAAAGGTTTGGCTCAGTATTCTTAACACTCTCTCACCAGGTATTTATATACAAGGTAAAGATTTCTTGATGGTTTTCTGTTCCTCAGGGAGAACAGTCCTGGTGTTCTCAGTCTCTTATGTAGCAGGTGCTTCAGTCTCTTCAGTGTTTGGATCATTATGGAGATCAGGATAAGGGAATGATTCATGTGGATCTCTGGTCAGGGACAGTAAGTTTCTGTCAGGGACAGTAAGTTTCTATTTGTCAAGAAATAAGAGCAGAATGAATTAAAAACAAAACCGTGTTAAAACATTTGAGTGATAAGTATGACATCACAATTTTTAAGGGAAGTTAAGAAAGAAACAAGCATGGAATGCAATGATCAACTTGATGTGAGTAGAAAATATGGTAAAGATGAGATTGGATAACTTAAAGGAAGCCAGGGTACCAAGAAGTTTTGGAAGCGTTAACATCAGTTGATATTTGAACTGGTGGATTAGATGGGATGGTCCTGACAGTTACTGACAAGGACAAGGGAGATTATATTCTGAGATCAACAGAAGAGCCCAGAATATGCAAACAGAAGCTTTGAAGGAGCAGCAGTTAGAGGGGAGAGTGAGTATGAGACTTTTTGGTGCAGCAGTCCCTGATGGAGTAGGCAGTGTGTGAGGAATTGGTGGTTGTGACACTGTGAGCCTAAAAGTGCTCTGCATTTGATAGCTGCCCTCAGGTTGGGCAGTGCATGTAAATTCCCTCCCTAGCCATTGTTAAAAAGACTGTCAGAACCCTGTACTGTTAAACACAAGTTTAAGTACACTCCTGACTATTGCTGAGGAGAAACTGGAAGTAGCCACATTGATGTCTAGCTATTGCGGAGAAAGGTCTGTTAGAAAACATTGTTTCTTTCAATGCTTAGTCATGTTTTGGCTATAGTTTTGATTCTAGACTGTAGCAGCATCCTTGTGACATTGACCTAAGTTTATTTACCTTTTGGCTGCTCAAATTAGTGACTACAGCCACTAATTTGTAACAGTCTTTGTAGGCTCTGTAGTGTTTAGTAATTCCCTCACTGGGATTAGCTGGGAATAAATTCCTATAGAAGCATTTTAATTGGAGTCTTAGATTGCATTCAGTATTGATATTTTTACTACTTTAAATTGTAGAAGTTTCTTTTCAATCACTTTGGTTAATCATTTGTCGTTCTGTGATATAAAATTTTAAAAGCCCCCTGGGTAGTAAAACATTGCATGGGATTTCGTAAATTTTTGCATGTGACTGAGTTTGATTTTGAAATAAATCTTCCTATAGAAGCATTTTAATTGGAGTCTTAGATTGCATTCAGTATTGACATTTTTATTACTTTAAATTGTAGAAGTTCTTTTTAATCACTTTGGTTAATCATTTGTCGTTCTCTGATATAAAATTTTAAAAGCCCCCTGGATGGTAAAGCATTGCATGGGAGTTTGTAAATTTTTGCATGTGACTGAATTTGATTTTGAAATAAATTAGCAGACATCTGTAGAAGGTGCAGATCTACTTAAAAACTTTGTCAATAATGGACAACTGTCAACTTCTTAAATTGTTGAATAAAAATACCGAGATATTCTAAATTGGTTTTGTTGTTGAAAACAAGCTTTGTGTGATACGTATCAAATATCCACTTTCTCCTTTATTCTAGTTGTCATGGATGATGACGATGATGAATCCTGTCTCCTTGATCTTATTGGGTAAGTTTCATACAAGAATTATTGCAGAAAAGTTGGGAATAATAATTTTGCAAAAATCATCATCTAGAAGGTGATTCTATCTTGGTATTGTCCAAACATGAGGTGACTTGCAATGAAATGAACAGACATGCTCCATGTCTTCCACGTGGAGATGTGTGGAGTGCAAAACCTTAATCCCAGTGGATGCTAGCTGACAGTCCACTTGCTGACATTCTCCTCAGGAGAGGCCAAGGAGAATGTGTGTTCATGGAGCGTGGATTCTCCTCTCAGGTAGTGGTAATACCAGATCAGTGTTGATGCATGTTACTAGGGATGCTCCTGCAAACTTCATAGCAAATAACTTTTTTTTGATCAAATCCCCTAAGATGTCAATTTTTTTGAGTAATGCAACTAGATTTTTTTTAATGCTAGGCTTGTATTTTAAGGGAAGAGTAAAAGTATTTTTTTCTTAATTTGAAATACTTAAATATTTAATTTCTACTAATAATACACATTTGCGTCTAAATGTTAGAAAAAAAGAATAGCTCTCTGTACTGTTTTCTATTCACATCAAAGAATTTACCAGCATTTTGGTCTAAGATACTTGATTTCAATAAAATCTGGGATTTTGAATGGACATGTGAGATGATGGCGGGTTTTTTGCCCCCCCCCATTTCCATAATTGATTCATATGGAGTTATATAATTCTATGTGGCAATCTCCAAAAATAGTTAGGATAGCTGAAGCTTAAACAAGTTTTGTGTGGATTGTATATGTGACAAGTTGCCTTCCTTTGGCTGTCATTTGTGTCAGTATTCAAGAACAGATAATATGCTATAAATGCATATAAAACACAAGAAGAGAATTCAGCTTTTAATGTCCAGTACTTTGTTCAAACTCTGCTAGAAATTAGACTGATGTCAGTCTCATAGCAGCTGCTAAAAGATCATTCTCGGTTCATACAAGAATTTTTTTCCTGTCTTAAGTGTAGGAAATAATTAAGCTTTCTCACATACCTGAAAACTTCCAGTGAAACCAGTGAGAGCTGTAACTTCAGAACGACCAAAACACCCCAGAGTGGCTGCTGTAGTTTGAGGGTTGCTCTGGGTGCTGTAGCAAAAGCAGTGCCAGTAAAGGCTCAGTAACATTCTGTGAAGTAACTGTTGTTGGAGGTTACTGATTGTGACCATGTGAAAACATTTCCTGCTTGGAACATGAACATAAAGATGGCCATGTGACAATTAAGTGCTCTGTTATGAGCATGAATTGTGAGGATCCTGCTACAAGATCACAGGTGGTCCAGAAAATGAAGTGCTCTCCATACAGATGAGTGTTTGTGTGAAAAATTACAGTGTTCTTGCTGCTGCTGGCAGCAATTATTGTCTTAAGCATCTAGAAGAATGGAAAACATTGTTTTTTTTTTAATCTGCTCTATGATTTGGTAAGTGCCATCTAAAATTCCTTCCTTACTGAAGATAATATTTAAGGTTCTGAAGTGTTCTTAATTTTTAATTGCATTTTGCACAATTGGAAGACAGTGAGTGTGATTAGTATTAAACGGCCTAGTCATTTGACTGATAAAATTCATGAGCATAATAGAACCCTATAAGAGATCATGAGTTCTGTGTCCCTTCATTTTTGAAATTCTGTGACATCTACTATGAAATGACCTTTGTTTTAAAATATATGTGACCACTTCAATATCGTAAGCATAATAGTGCAGTGAAGTCCCTGCCAAGTACTGTCATGTCTTTTGTAAACCCATAAACACAGTTTGTTTTTTTTAAAGAAAAAGAAGGGAGTAGAGGTGTGTTTGTCCTTTTAGAAGAGTAGTTGTGAGCTTGAAAGATCTTTGACTTTATGCCTCTTTACTTTCTAGGACCGTCAAATAAAGAGACATTTTTAGTTACTGCTTTTTTAAATGATAATCTTCTAAAAAATATTTCATTATTACTTGTTAATCAATAACATGTTTTAAAAGTCAAAGAAATCCATGTCAGTTTACTCCTTATGCTAAGGGAAGTGCTGTATAATTGTTGCATTATAATCCATGTAACACAGCCTTTTGTTCTTTTTACTTGGTCTATACATACAGCTAAATTAATGTATTTGTATTTGTTTGAATTTCTCACACTCATTCTATCTGACTACATTTTTAATATGAGTTTTATTTAGTGCTAGTGCTAAGTTAATTAAATACACTGAAATTCATAATATTTAGTCAATTATTTCTGTGGTTGGTTTCACTTGGAAAAGGTGCCACTTTTTCTTCGTGAGGGGACTGTTACTCTGGCAGTCATAAATTTTTGTTAACTTGTGTCAAAGATGACAGAAAACCCATCAAAGAATCAGGTTTGTAAATAGGTGTTAGCTAAACAAGGCATTACAGTTTAGCTGTAGAAGAGGTGGTTCTGTTTAATTTCTCACATTATTTGGTGGTAGTATATTTCTTAGGTTTTGTACTGTGTGCTGTCATAAAATACCATGTTTTTCAAGAGAACATGAGCATCACCCTCATAAAGGGAAATACAGTAGAGTACAGCTAAAATTTTGTAATCAATGTTGTTTATTTGCTTGAAATACCTTTTTACAATGGCAGCAGGTATGATCAGCATCTGGAAGTTGTGCTGATACAGAAACACAGAGCCCCAGATGATACAAACTTTCCGCTTTGCATTGGATTCAATGAAAGATGTGTTTTTACTAGAAACCTGATTTATATGAGTACAGTATGTGGCTTAGTTAAATTAGCCTCACTAGTAAAATGGACTTCACAAATGTACTAACTTCTTTATTTTTTTCCCCTCCTTCAGGGACCCACAAGCACTGAATTATTTTCTACATGGACCTAGTACTAAATCTGTAAGTAGCATTGCTGTGTATTAGGCATAGATAAGCTTCATTGAGTGTGTTAGTTCTAAACATTATTTTTGTCTTTTACCAGAGCAATGAAGACTTGACTAATGCAGAATATTCTGTAGCCAACTCAAATTCAATTTTCGCCAACTCCAATGTAAGTGGTCAGGAGATAAATATTATTAATATTGAGATTGCATGCTTCTGTGTGGCTTTACTTGGCTTTCATAAAACTGAGTTAAGTAGATGTGGGTTTCAGCTTTTTCATGTGAAAGCGCTGAATACTAACATAGAACCTGTCTTGTGCTGTTAGTATTTTAAGTATTTCAGTGGGGAATTAATTGAAAAATACTGTACTGTTGGGATATGTTTTGTAAATATGTAAAGCAGCTTGCTGAGCAGTGAAAATGCTCTCTGGTGTAATTCTCCAGTAAACTGCATTAGTGGCTTCAGTGATTGTAGGAGTAGTAGTGCTCAAAGACAGACCTTGAAAGTTAGTCATTCATATGCTTTCTGTGTATGTTAGAATACCTTTTGTTCCTTACTTTATGTAGATTCTGAGCTGGCAGGGGTTTTTAAAATTAATAATTGAGTTGTTGTTTTTGGGGTTTTTTTGCTATTTGTATATTTTTTTCCTTAGACTCAGGAGGTAATTTGGGATGTGTCCTTCCTGTAACTTCAGTGTTAGGGAAGTTGCTTTAAATTCATTAGGCATTGCAAGAAGTCTTCAGTGTTCCTTTTTGCCGGGAGTGTTTTGCAGCCCTGGACCACGTTTCACACAATGAGGTTGTGAAATCCCAATCCTTCGTGATAAATTCAAGGCTCTAGTGTGGGTAGTAGTCATGTTTTGAGTAGAACATTGGACTGCATGACTTAAGAGATCCCTTCAGATCCACATTTCTTTGGTTTCATTTGTGTGATTTTTAAATCAACTGAATTATTAATCCTACAATTAAGTTATTTCAATACATAGAATAGGATTTTCTTGGTAATTCTTCTGTTCTACTGCTTGTCTGTTTGTCTCATGTTCATAACAGATTCACGGGTACACTTGTAGGCTTAAATAATTGGTGGGAAGAAATTCTGAAATCTGTTAATCTGTGTGTGGAGAACTAGTGACTTTCCTGTAGGCACAGTAGTGTAAAGTGTTTGTCCTGCCTTTCCCCTTTCAGGATTGTTATTAAATATTGTAGAAGAAACAGACAAGATGGTTGAGATAATGGTGGGGGAGTAGGGTACCAAGAGTAACAGGGCATGCACAATTTTCAGCTGGTGGGGAACAGTGGTTTCACCTTGGTACCTGGCTGTGGCCATTAGCAGACAGCAGCTGCCTGGATGCAGCACTAGCAGAGGTGGGGTTTGAGGACTTATCCTGAGAAAAAACAGGTTTAGGGAGAATGACATGCATTTGTCATAGCCTAGACTTCCTAGTTGTTCTTTGTAAACATCCTTCTGATGAGCATGACTAGGTAGGCAGGAGTCAGGTGTTTCAGGTGTATTTTCAGAAAGTGAGTTTTCTGGAGTGATTTTGAGGGGCAGTTGAGAGTGTTCTGGACAAGGTGGGAGTAGCTGTTGGAAGAAATAAAATACTTGGTATAAGCTAAGAGCTTTGTGGTGTGTGAAATTTGGGGTAAGTAATCTAGAAGGCAGGTGATCAGAGGAGCAGGGATTCCTAGTACATGTTCCTTGAATGACATACTACAGTGTAATTCTCAGCATGCTCTGTCCTCATCCTTTTATGTATCACAAGGACCACCAATGCCATCTTCTCCTCCCTCCTGTGGGAGCCCTGTGCTGACATAAGTGAAAAATGACTTCATTACAAATTCTTACAGTTCATTGGGAAGGATCAAGTGTTACCATAAACAGATGGTTACACAGTCCCTGCTTATAAAAACTTGAAAAGTTAAATCCTTATGAGGCTTTTGTCATTGAAGTTTTTGCAGATACTGAAAGTTCTGTGCTTGTATATATTCAGAATTGCTACCATGAAGTAGGGTTGGCTGTCTTGCCGCCCATCTCAGCCTTTCAGTGGCTGTTTACAAATTCAGTGTGAAGGGTTCAGTGCCTCATCTGGTAAGGATGCTCAGCCAACACCTAACACAAGCAAGATGAAGTTCCTGCTGACTGAAGGAAAAGAAAGCACTCTTCCACTACCTTACATTGCCCTCCATGCCCCATCCCAACCTTCCCTGAGTTGAGTCTGTGCCACCTCTGCTGATTCCAGGCTGGTTTCCTGTGGCAGTTGTCATGAGAGGCTTCCCTAGCCGTTTCCCTGTTACCTGGCTTGTACTGGGTGGCTGCTTCCATTCTCCTGTTAAAGTATAATAGGACAGCAAAAGAGAGCAGAATATTCATGGAGCCTCTGAGAATAAGACTCTTCTTCTTGGGCAGCAGATTCATGAAGCTGCAGAGGCTTTGGTTTCTTCTTGAAATTAGCATGGTATTCTGTGTGGCTCTTCTGAATCTGGAGGGTAATGATTCAGATGTTAACTTGGAAGGTTAGTTTTTGCATATGAAATTATTTTCTAATGTTAAATAGTTCTGGGAACAGGGAGTGGAACTTGGGATTTTCTGTTCCAGTGGGAGAGTTTTAAGCTATTAATCTTGATTGCATGTAATATTATTTATTAGTGTTATTATTGGCAGTAGTTAATAGTTGTATTGTTTGTACTAACTGGAGTAACATTAGTGTAACTGTTTAAGTTACACAGTTGTAAAAGATTTCAGTTTGGTCATTTACTTGGGGACAACTTAGAGATTCAATAGGAATCCCCCTGAACCTGACATTGAGTCCTAATTATAGCCTAGTTAGTGATTCCTTGTAGCTAGGTACAGTTGAGAACCTGATTTGTAGCTTTAGGTGTTCCTGAGGTTCAGACACTGACACATTTAAGCAGTGGTTTAATTCCTCTATTAACATAAATGCTAAAAGCTTGCTGTAGTTTAATAGTTGTAGTTTAATAGTAACTTGAAAATATTTTATCTAATCTTAAGAAAAATGTTTAAATAATTTAAAACATGACTGAAGTTTCAGAAAATGTAGTTTTTTTGAGAAACAGATCGGGGTAAAATTCTGAATCAGTATGCTTGGGGAACTGAAGTTAGGGTGGGGACATCATTGCATGTGATAATTATGGCTTGCAGCATCTTCACACTGTTTACATGAGGTGAAAAACAAGCGTCTGTGACCTTCATGGAGTGAAGGCTCAGAGTATGAGTGTGACTGATAATTGCACACCCACAGTTTCCATTTATCCTGACCTAAAAAGAAGCTGGTTGTTGCTTCTGAATAGCTGATATGCGTTCATGCAGTTTGGAAAGTTGTACTTTGCTTGACTTAAAACTATCATGAATAGTATTATGCATTTAAATTTGTCATTCTATCTGCAGGAACATGACGCTTGTGTTGTCTGGAGTTTCCAGACAGAACTTTGTTTTAGAAGAATCTTGACAGTAGGCCAGAGTAAATACATTTTGATTTTCCTCAGCATGGCGTTAATGGATGTGAATTTGACGGATTTTTTCCTTAAAGGTGCTACCTAATATTTGTGGTAGTTCCAATGTTTATAGTTCTCAGTAATCTTTTTATGAGCATAAACTGCAGTCTGTAACACTTTTTTTCCTTACTCTCTTGTTTCTAAAATTTTTTTAAACAAGGAGTTAACATAATGCCTTAACTTTATGAAATGGTCACTAGTTTACACTAAGTGGTTATGGAAATGCTGGTAGAATTTTGGAGGCGAATCTTGTTTGATAGAAGTCAATGGAAGAAAAGCTTTCTTCTGCCTTTTCTCTGCTTCTACTGTTGCTACTGAAGCCTTGCCCCAAACTGAATTAGAGTGGAGGTAATTTCCCTCCTTGTTTCTTTTATGCTTTTGTCAGTAGAGTGCTCAGCTTGAGGAAGGGAAAATGGCACTTAGAGCATTTCATGTCCTCTTGAAACAATGTAGCTGCAGACCTAAGTGCTGTGTATTGAGAGATTTGAGAAGGGAAAGGAGAGAAGCATCTCCAGCAGTCTGAGGGTATGAGAGGGGTATCCATGACCTGTTTGTGCTGGCTCACTGTAGGGGGTCAACATCACCCTGCACATGCTATGGGAAGAGTATAATTCTGTGTTGAGAGTTTGTGTCCATGAAAAAACAACTAATGAGGAAACAAAGCAGATACTGGAATTTCTGAAAGTGATTTATTTCTTGTTTTGCATTTCAGAACACTGATCCTAAGTCGTCTGTAAAAGGTGTAAGTGGTCAGCTTGGAGAGGGGCCTAGTGATGGACTGCAGCTCTCCAGTAGCCTTCAGTTTCTTGAAGATGAACTTGTGTCTTCTCCTTTACCTGATCTTACTGAGGATCAGCCTTTTGATATTCTTCAGAAGTCCTTGCAGGAGGCCAATATTACTGAACAGACTTTGGCGGAAGAGGCATATTTGGATGCCAGTGTAGGTTCTAGCCAACAGTTTGCACAAGCTCAGCTTCATCCTTCTTCATCAGCATCCTTTACTCAGGCTTCTAATGTTTCTAATTACTCAGGTCAGACGTTGCAACCTATAGGAGTTACTCAAGTGGTACAGCAACCTGTTGGAGCATCTTTTGCAAGCAATACAGTTGGTGTGCAACATGGCTTTATGCAACACGTCGGAATTAGTGTTCCTGGCCAGCATTTGTCTAATAGCAGCCAGATTAGTGGTTCTGGGCAGATCCAGCTGATTGGTTCATTTAGTAATCAACCTTCCATGATGACCATCAATAACCTCGATGGATCTCAGATAATACTGAAGGGCAATGGTCAGCAGACACCTGCGAACATGAGCAGTGGCCTCGTGGTTCATAGACAAACTCCAAATGGGAACTCGCTGTTCAGTAACTCAAATTCAAGTCCCGTAGCACAACCCGTAACTGTTCCATTTAGCAGCACAAATTTTCAGACTTCATTGCCTGTCCATAATATCATAATTCAAAGGGGTTTGGCACCCAACTCTAACAAAGTTCCTATTAATATCCAACCAAAGCCTATTCAGATGGGTCAGCAGACTGCTTACAATGTGAATAACTTGGGAATACAGCAACATCATGTACAGCAAGGGATTCCATTTGCTTCTGCAAACTCACCTCAAAGTTCAGTAGTTGGTCCTCATATGTCTGTTAATATTGTTAATCAACAACAAAATACAAGAAAATCAGTTACACCTCAAACAGTTAGCAATGCTGGAGGTAGTATTGTTATCCATTCTCCTATGGGACAGCCTCATGCACCTCAAAACCAGTTTCTCATACCTACAAGTTTGTCTGTTAATTCTAATTCGGTTCATCATGTCCAGGCCATAAATGGACAACTTCTTCAGACTCAGCCTTCCCAGCTGGTTCCTGGCCAAGTGTCTGCTGAGCATGTAATGCTTAACAGGAACTCTACAAACATGCTAAGAGCCAACCAGTCATATTCAGGACAGATGCTGAATAATCAGAACACAGCTGTTCAGCTTGTTTCAGGCCAGACATTCACAGCTCCTGGAAACCAAGTTATAGTAAATCATGGAACTTCCCAAATTGTTGGTGGACAGGTGCCACTGCAGCAGGCGTCACCAACGGTGTTGCATTTGTCACCCAGCCAAGCTAATGTTTCTCAAGGCAGATCGAGTTTTACCACCATGTCACCTGGGCAGTCCACAGTCTCAAATATGTCAGCTTCTGGCCGATTTGCTGCTGCGAGTTCTTCTGGTTCAGTGCACCCCAGCTTGGGAGCATCCGTTCAGTCTGTCGCGTCGGGAGGGAGCTTTACGGGAGATCAGCTGGTCCAGAACAGAGCTCAAGTTGCCGTCAGCGCATCACATCGTCTTCCAGCATCCTCCTCCAAGTCTGTCAGCACCTTTAGTCACACGTCTGTGGGAGCAACACAACAACAGTTTGCCTTTGGTCAGGTATGAAAGCTGCTTGAGAATGTAGCCAAAGAAAAGCTTCTAAGCTGTGCTAAAATCTGGTTAATACACAGAATTCTGTTAACTTTGCTGGTTTGTATTATTACAAATACTATGGAACTGCTGAAAATTACTGTAACCCACAGTCATCATTTCACTTGGTATTTTCTAAATCTGTTACTGAGGGAACAACTCTGTTACTTTGATTAATTCCAAGGAATTGGTTATAGTGTTATTTTCAGAAGTTCTTAGCATTGATCTGTGTCTGCTCCTGTTTAAAGGAATGGGCATTGTAAGTTTATACAATTGCAAGCTCTCCTGTAAACCTTACCATAGGCTGGATGTAAAGGCTCAGGTTCATTCTTAGCACTTAAGTCTTTCGACCTCACTAAAACCTATGCATTTTCAAGGTTTGACTTATTGAAATTACAGATGAAAAGGTTTCTTGGGCTTCCTTTTGTTATTTATCATATAGGTGCTTTCGTTACGTGTGTCTGGAGCAGTTAGAAGCTTTCAAATTTGATGCAAAGACAAGAAATGTTTCTTAGAATCCTTAGAAAGAAACACCTTCTAAAACAGTTTGTAAAAGCATAACATTAAAAAAAACAACTCTTAAGTAAAACTAGTACTTACAAAAAATCAGAATTCACTTTTAAGATTTGATGTTGTCTGTTTTGTAAGTAGATATACTTGCAGTATATATTCAACTCAAATTTTTCTGTTTTATTCATATGTGAACTTAAAGTTCACAAAAGTTTAAAATAAAAAAACTCATAAAGTTCCAGAGTGAACTGCCAGTTTTAACTCCGTGACTTCTAATGCAATTAGCAACAAGCTATTAAATTTCTGTAATTTCTTAACTTTTTTTTTTGTCATCTTAAAATACTGGTCACTCTCTCAGAATGCATCTGCACTAATTAGATCTTTCTCCTTTTTCTGTTATGTCTTTTACTTAGATCTTTCTTTTTCCAAAGGCTTGATTGATTTTTTTAAACCAAACCCAAAGTCTGCAGTGAAATAATGTCTTTGGAAATAATGTGTATTTAAAAAATTAGTATGAACATGTTGCAGAAACATTTGTGATCTTTGTCAACATTTCTGGTGCAGGTTGTAGGGTTTTGTTTGCAGATGAATGATTTGAGGCCTGTCTGACTTTCTCTTCATGTGTCTACATCCTCCTATTTGCAGGTCATGTGCTGGGTCAGTGAGTTTCAGCAGTTATAAAAGCAGAGTATTTCTTATTGCTGTAAGAGATCATGTTGTTCTTGTGCTGAAATTTCAGAGCTGTAAATGGGAACTTACAGAGTACAAATGGCACTATTTGCCAGAATCTTTTTAGATTGTTTGTACTTGCATTTTAAACATTGTACTTTATCCTAAACCATGTATCATTCAGTTGCTAAGCAGCAGAGGGTTTGTTCCACTGTGGGTTTTTTTTTGTTGGGAAAGCAACTTCATCATCTTGCAGTTTTGGAACTCTGAGAAGCTGTGTTTTCTAAGGTCCACTTGTAGTGGGAAATGAGTGGTCTTGTAGAATGCAACTGGTACATGTTTGTGCTGTTAGTGTAATTTCTGTTCCCCTGTGATTTATTTTATAAAATTCTTGAACTTGGAGGGATTGAGATGTATGAAATTTCACCACTGATGAGTTTGAAGTTAAAAAAGTATACATGGAGATTAATTTTAGGTGCATTTTCCTTGTTTTTCTTAAAACTTTTAGTAAATATTTCACTGTGATTTTAAAAAAAATTTGTTCTTTATTTTATGTTTGTGACACAGAAAAAGGCCGTGAACCAGACATCACCAGTTTCCGCATCGAAGACACAGGACAATTTGAGACAGCCTCAGCTAACAAATCTTCTGAGCAACACACTATCAGGTCAACTAAGGTCTTCTTAACACAATTTTCTTAATTTTCTGCAGCAACAGAGATTTGTTCTTCTTCAGTGTGTCAGATAGATGCCTCATGCTCATAGGGTTCTAAAGGTTGTTGGAATTTTATTTTTAGAAGAATTCAAGCTATGTTTTTGTGGTATTGAATGTGTGCTCTGATTTTTCCCAGTCATGGCACTTCATTTTCTAGAGAGAAAAGTTGAATCTTTACAATAAGTAATTATTTCTCTCCTCTATAAAATCCAAAATTGTACCTTCTTTCATTTTTCTTTTTTTTTTTCAGCTTAGGAAAATAGAAATACTTAATTTTCAAAAAGATTTTTCTTTTTTTTTTTTTTAGCTTAGGAAAATAGAAATACTTGATTTTCAAAAAGCAGACATCTGCTAAAATTCAATGAAAGTGCCAGAATGTTGAGTATGGTAGCTGCTTCAGTTACAGAGGGAAGAGAAATAGGTATTACAAGTTACATGCAGGCTGTCATCACTCACTTTGTTCTTGAATGCGTCCCTTTCAGTTAGAATAGTTCATGCATTGTTCATGGCAAAGTAGCAGCTTTTCAAGCAGCATTGTGCTACTGAAAGAACAAAACCAAAGGCTGTCATCACTCACTTTGTTCTTGAATGCGTCCCTTTCAGTTAGAATAGTTCATGCATTGTTCATGGCAATGAACATGCTACTGAAAGAACAAAACCAGTACATTCAAGGCAAGCAGAAAAATGCAGTAACCTTCCTGTTCTCTTCATACATGAGTAATAGGACCTTTTGAATAAGGTCCTATACTCTACCTTTTTTTTTTCCTTGTGTACTGTTATGTATAGAACAAAACCAATACATTCAAGGCAAGCAGAAAAATGCAGTAACCTTCCTGTTCTCTTCATACATGAGTAATAGGACCTTTTGAATAAGGTCCTGTACTCTACCTTTTTTTTTTTTCCCTTGTGTACTGTTATGTAGAAACTGTCCAGGGAATTCTATACAATCTGCGCAGTATGCTGGGTGTCTTTGGGGGAAAAAAATTAATACATTCTTACTTGTTTTGGTTGTAAGGTAGCATGACTGATAAGATGCTGTTTGGATTATGAAACAAGGCAATTGAAGGAAATCTGCCTATATAAAAAATTCTAGGGGAAAAAATAGGCTTGCTAAGTACTTCCAGGAGCTCTAGAAAAATGTGGGTAATACACTTGAGGGAGGATTGGTATTGAAAAGCTTGATAAAATTTACTGTATGGTTTTAGGCAAATTGTTGGGACACTAAACTTACAGCACTTGAATTTCTTCTTATGTCGCAGTACCATGGTGTGATGTGATTTATATCTGAGGATTTTTATTGTTTTCAGGCAAAATAGCGGTTGTATTTGATTTTTATGAGCTGGTTTCTCCACAGGGTACTTGCACTAATGCTTTTAAGCACAAGAGGTAGTTTTCCTAAAAACTCAAGAGAAATTATCAGGATAGGTATACAAAATCATTCACCTCTTGCTTAGGATGACAAGAATCTTTTAAACTTCCTTTTATAGGACAGGACTCTGGAGGAAAAATCATACAACAATCTCTAGGAACAGCACAGCCACAAGAAAAAGTGGTAGGATCGTCATCAGTTCAGCAGAGTATACAGGTAGAGAACACTTCTGTTTATATGGTTCCTTGTTTGTCCTGGTTTTGTCTGGGATAGAGATAATTTTCTTCTTAGTATATGGTACAGTGCTGTGTTTTGGATTTGGGCTGTAAATAATGTTGATAACACCGCCAGTGTTTTAGTTACTAGGCAGTGCTTACTCTGCAAGTCGTGGCCTTTCCAGTGCCCCATGCTGTGCCAGTAACACACACAGGACAACTGGCCCACAGTGCTGGAGGAATATCCCATACTGTGGAATGTAGTGTTCTGGGTGTAAATGTAGGAATTGCTGCTCAGGAATGGGGTGGGCGTTGTTCAGAGGGAGCATTTGCATTGCATTGGGCATCACTTGTTTCTTCTGGATTTAATTCCCCCTTTCTCTCTTTTTCATTACAACTTTATAATAACTATACCATTACTATATTATTTTATTTTGTTTCTGTTTTTCAACTGTTCTTTTCAACCCACAAGGTTTACATTTTTTTCCTAATTTTCTGCTCCACTGGGTGAGGGGAGGTAGTGAGTAAACAAATACGGAATCATTGTAGTTTTTTTGTGGAGTATATGAACTCCCTCAAACTTGACAAATTCTACCTTGACAAAATAAATGTTGATTGTTTCGCAAATTGATACTTTGAGATTCAGTTCATTAAGTGGAGTCTGACTGTACTGTTCCCTGAAGATAATTTGTATGACATAGCAATTCTTCATTGAATTGGCCAATAGTTCAACCTACTCTTATTATTTCTTACAAACTCAGCTGTTCTCTAGCTGACTGAGAGACAGTCATTTGTGAGAAGCAGCAGGACAGTTCCACCTGGTCTTTGTTTTATTCTTTACTGCAGTCTTCTTCTTTTACCATCAAAAGTTCTCCCACATAATGCAAGTATGCACAAAAACACTGTCCAGGATGAGGCTTTTTTGGAGATAATTTGAATTAAAATTTTTGTTCGTAAATGTATTTGTCAATGCAGTAGGACAGGAATATTTTCCCATGTCTTATTGGTGTACAAGTAGAGGAGAAAGCACAGTGGCGCTCAGCTGGGACATCAGACTGGTTGTGTAATAGTTGGTCAGATGTTCATTCTGCTTGGTGGTGACTACTTTTTGTGCTCTGAAGTTGGAGGCTTTTTGAGGCAAATACTCTTCCAGTGTGCCTGCTGTGAACCTTTACCCCCTCAGAGAGCCTCAGGTCTTAGGAGAGTGTTCCCAGGCAAAATCTTCATTTCATTAAATGTCTAAGGAAAGGAGAAAATTACTTAGATCTCTACCTGATGGGCATATCTATAGCATTGACACTGAAATAGAATTCCTAGAATGATTTTTACCACCCCCTCATCCACTATGGGTTTTGAGAATATAAGTGCACAACCTTAGCCTGCTTTCCTCACAGATACTCTAATCCATCAGTGTCAGGTAAGATGACATCTTCTGAAAAATGCAGAGACAGTTTGTAGGAGCAGATTAATTTGTAGAAGTTTTTAGTTGTACCTTTCCTTCTTTGCACCTGTTAACTTTCTCTTAAAGATCTTAAAGATCTTCTCTTTCTTAGTGAAGTGTGTATAATACACAACAGTGGAATTTGTCTACAAACAGCATTTCAGACCTTTGGTTTATGTCACTTCCCTATTTTGTGGATACACAGTGTCATGTGAAGATAGTAGATAGATGAAAGTGTTTATACTTATGTGGTGGTTACAGTTAGTGTTGGTGACGTACTTAATTGACAGAAACAAATCCTGAAACTTAGGCTTTGCAAATGAGGAGCTATATTGTAATTTGTCTTTTATTTTGAACTTAGGTCGATGGTCATTTAGTTGGACAGAAAAGGCCTGCTGCTAAACAGTTAACTAAAGGAGCTTTGTAAGTCATGATTCCATTTTAATTCTGTTCCAGAAACCTTAATTTTTACTTTTGTCAATGTAAAAACTCTGTACAGTATGTTAAGTATATATCATTAATTTTTTTGTAGTATTCTGCAGCAATTACAGAAGGATCAGGTACATGCTGTGACACCAGATAAAAGTCAGTTCAGATCATTAAATGATGCAGTTCAGAGACTCCTTTCATACCATGTGTGCCAGGGATCACTGCCAACAGAAGAAGATTTAAGAAAAGGTAATTTTCTTTTTAAAATTTGGCAGTAAGTTTGTAATCAGTGCATTTGAGAGAATTCTTAATTTAAATTAGAGCAATAAGAAAATGAATGTTTTAAAATTTGTGCAGGTTATTATTGAAGAACAGAGTGTGAATGTGTATTTTGTCTTTTCAGTGGACAGTGAATTTGAATCTGTAGCTACACAGCTTCTGAAGAGGACACAGGCTATGCTGAACAAATACAGATGTTTGCTTATAGAAGATGCAATGGTAAGGTGTAGAACCCAGTACACTTGGTTTATGGGATGGGATTCAGTTTGTTAAAACAATACCTACAGACCAGATACATGAACTTCTGTTCTCTGCTTTGCTCTTACACTGAACAGGCTGTGATGGTCAAGTGGGTGATTTCTGTGTATTTCTGTGGCTGGAACCTGAAATAGTGTTGATGTTGTCCATTCAGAGGCCTCCAGCCATATTATATTATATTATTAGAGCCAAATCATATTACAGTTTAGGAAATCGTTGTCCTTAAAAGCTAGGTGCAACTTCATCCAAAATGCTTCTGATTTACGCGCTTTCACAATCCCAGGTATGAGGTAAAATAAAACTGACAAAGTTAAAGAATGTGTTTTACAAGGATCAGGAAATGCTGTTGTGACTTCAGATATGCTAGTTTTCAAACCTGGGAAAATTTTGAATTTGAGTATAATAGGCATTTAAATATTTAGGGACAGGGATACATAACATAACGGTTAGAGTTCATATGGTTTTAAAACAAGCAGTTGCATTGAAAAAGATCCTAGCCGTTAAATAATTGCAAGTATTTGCAGATGCAGAGAGGATGGAGCTTGAGATTTGTTCTTTTAGCATTTGGTATGTTGTATGGCAAATCCCATTGAGTAATTTTGAAAGGTTTATTTCACATGGCATTCAGGTTTGAAACTAGCTGCCTGTGTTATGGCTTAGTGCAGTGAACATTTTCTGTGATGGATGAATCCAACTGGCTTGAAGGCATTGTCAGCAAAATGCAGCTCTGCAGCAGCTAGTTACAAGAATAGGAGAGAAGTGCAGGGAAGATGATAGGGTGGTCCCAGTTCAATATTTTGCTGGTTGATCCCCTAAAAGTATGAAGTAAAAAAATTGTGGTGTATGGTAGTAAGCATACTCAGTCCTGAAAAATTACAACTCATACAACTGGAATAGCAATTCCCTATTTAAAGTCTTTCCCAAATAAAATTTGCAGTACAGTGTGAGTAATACTTTGTGATTGAGTTTCAGTAGTGGTTGGGTCAGAGTCAAGACTGTTGAATTGTGAATGGTCTTCACAAATACATAATAAAAGAAGTTTCTTTTCTCTGAAATTTATCTAAGCTGTCAATGTTTTGATTTGGTACCAACATATGAGTCACTCCAGAGATTGGTTGTGTTTTTCCTTTCCGTCCAGCGGATAAATCCCTCCGCAGAAATGGTTATGATTGATAGGATGTTTAACCAGGAGGAAAGAGCATCTCTGACCCGGGAAAAGCGTCTTGCACTTGTGGATCCTGGTAAGTCATGCTTAACTTGTAAATAAGTATGGAGTGTTAAAAAATAGTTGTGGCCACAGTGAGGCACCAATTGCTGTGGATTCCAGTTAGTGAAATACTGAATAAGCATTTGCAAGATAACTTTTTATAACTCCAGAATTCAGCAATCCAGAGACACTGTAGAGGTGAAGCAGTTATTTGTGGGGAAAAATAATTTTACCTGTTTGGCAGGGAAATATTTGAGTTTCTTTTGACAACAGTCATGACTCCTGCAGTGCCTCCATCCTAGCAGGGAAGAATCGGAATTTGCTTGCAGCCAGAAAGACCAGCACTGTTTGAAGCATGAATACTCTTGTTCATCTTAATGAAGTGTTGCTCTTGGAGTGTCCTGGCTGTTTAAATGGCAGTGTTTGTAACTGGGATGTTGTTAAACATAGCACCTGGCAACACATTAATTGTTTAAGATTACAGCTACGATTTGTTCAAAGGTTCTGCATGATCTGCATATTTTAAAAGATATTCACAGGTTGTGTAGAAAGTATTAACCTTCAGAGACTGTATTTGCATATTTAGAATGCTGGGAAGTGCCCTGTATCTGGTTTTACGGTGTACATTGCGTATGTTCAAAGGTTCTGCATGATCTGCATATTTTAAAAGATATTCACAGGTTGTGTAGAAAGTATTAACCTTCAGAGACCATATTTGCATATTTAGAATGCTGGGAGTGCCCTTTATCTGGTTTTACGGTGTACATTGCGTGGGCAATGTGCTGATTAATTTAGTGCTAATCCCCTGCACTGTATGCAGTAGAACACTTAAGCATATGAACATCTTTAAAGACCCAGATCTGTAAGCTGGGGATGTTACTTGAATTTCAGTACTCAGAAACTGTGTTGGAGTGTCAGTTATTTGGATGTGTAGGTAATTTTAGTAAAATGTTGCTACTTCATTTTCAGATGGTTACCAGGCCGATTTTTGTTGTTCTGCCAAACAATTTGAGAAAACAGCTGAAGAAGCACAGTCCAGCAAAAGTGACAACCAGTCTAGCAAAACATTACCTTCTCGGAGTCAGACTACCAAAACCCAAGCCAGAGACCGACCAAAATCCAGTTCAGCAGAGTCCACAAATCATAGTAAACTTCCTATAGTGCCTAACAACATTCTGACACCACAAGAAGGAAAAGTTTCTAGTAAAAAATCTGAGAGCCTCACTAAAGCTTTAAAGTTTGAAAAAGCTAATTGTTCTTCTGAGAGCCAATACATGGCCCTTTCTGAAGAAAGGATGAGTGGGAAAGATCTTGCCAAGTCCACTGAGAATTCTTCGAGTTCTGAAGACTTGTCAAAAGTAGTGTCAAGAGGCAGTCATGGAACACACAATAAAATATCAAGGAACGCAGTTCAGTCTTTCTCAAAGGTAACGTGTAATAATTCACTTCAAGACAAAACTCTGAGGAGCTCTCCAAAGAATGAGGTTTTGCATCCTGATAACAGGAAAGACTCTGGTGAATCCCAGGAAGACTTACTGCTCAGTAAGAGTTTAGAAACTACATTTAAAAACATCTTGGAACTTAAAAAAGCTGGGAGACAGCCACAAAATGAGGCGGCAAGTAGTGGCTCGATTGAATTAGAGTTCCCTAATTTTTCACCAATCTCTTCACAAGAGAACTGCCTGGAAAAATTTATTCCAGACCACAGTGAAAGTGTTGTAGAAACTGACTCTATTTTAGAAGCAGCTGTAAATAGTATCTTAGAGTGTTAATAGTTACAGTACCATGGACAAGTTATGTTTCTCTTAGCAGAAGCAAATGTGAATGACACCACAAGTACAGCCTGACATGCATTTAAGGTTAACCTTTCTAAACTAGATTCTGTTCTGTGTTTGAGAGCAATACTCATTGTGGTTACAGTGAGATATCCAAGTAAAGTTAATCCTTGTTAGAATGCAGTCTGTTAGGGCCTTACTGTTTCAAGTATTATTATGATAGTGCTTTTGATTATTGAGCAGTGCTGCAACGTAACAGGGTTGCAGGTTGTTAGGCCCTATATAATATGGTAATATACTGACAATCACAGTCATTTGAAAGGATATATTTATTAAGAAAATGTTTTTAAAGAGTGATGGAAGCAACAATTCTCCCCTACCCTTCTCTTCCACAAATCATCAAATTTTTAGTTTTTTCTGGAAAACCCACTGTACCTCTATTCAGAAGCGATTATTTGCTTTATTAATGATTCTGTATTCTAGGATTCTTAAGTTGGAAGGAAATCATCAGTGTGTTTACAAGGCTTCATAACTTAAACTTTAAGTGCTTTTCTATTGCTTTCTGAGCAGAAACTAGTACTTGATATATTTGTAGTGGGTAACTTTAGTCTGTGGGATGATATTATATGATCTTAGTCACAGTGGCATGATACGAAGTAATAAATGCTTCACTAAGGAAGGTAGAATGGAAGCCAGTAAATAGCAAAGTGTACAGGATGAGGCCATGATAGAGCCATGAAGTTATATATATAATACATATATATGTTATCTCTGAGGAAAAGATTTTGCATTTTATAATTGGATGTAGTCAGCCTCGAGTCTTTCTGAAGTGGTATAAATGTTTTTTTTTTAATTTGTTGTTTGTTTTTTTTTAAGACCAAGTGTCAAAAGCACTTTGATTTGAAAACTGTATTTGTAGCTTATATTTTAAGAGGATGTTAGCCTTACTCTGAGTAAATTTAAAGGCCAGTGTTTATTTTTTAATTTTTTTTTGCTTTTTGCTGTCAGAGAATGTTAAATCATCCACCGTAGCAGTCATTATTATCAAGATATGTACAGACCAAAGTTGATCAGCAATCCCATTGTTTAAACATATCAAAAAAAAGTGTAATTATTAATTCATATTGTAAAGCCAAGTGAAACCATTGCATGGTTTGCATTTGGCTTGCTGTTGTTAAGATAGAATCTTATTATTTTATTTATTTATTTTAATCTATTACTTTTTTTTGCTGCCCATGCTGCTTTGTTCTAGTTTACTTTGGTCATGAGTGCTTTTGTGCACATAAGCGCGCTGACGTTGGTCATGTGTGTGTAGTACATATGTCTGCTCAGGAGGATACAGCTTTTGTGGTTTCTAAGGTTTGCTCATGTTCTCCCCCAGAACTTCTCCACCATTTCTCAAAAACATTACCAGCCCTTTTCCAGACTTACTGATTATGACTTTCATGGTGTAAGAGGCTCATTGTGACAAGCTGTGGTTGTCAGTCAGATTGCCAGGAGAGAAACCAAGAGGTTTTGCTGGTGTGTAATTCAGTCCATCTGAATGGCACGGAAGGAAGCAGAATTAGACACCTGGGATAGTAGAACATTACAGTGCAACTCAGTACTGAGCTACAATCCACTGTCTAACCACTAAAGGAAACCAAATCTAGAAAGCAATGAGAGAAAGATGAGCTTCCTTAAAATTCATTTCCCCTTCAACGTGAATGGAAGTACTGGTTTTGTATGTTACTAATTGCCATTTTAAACAATTGTGCCAATTTTAAAATACATGTTTGTAAAAACCCAACATTCCCAAGTGTTATATGAGATATTAATAAGTATTGCCAGTTTTAAATTTTTAGTTGAGTGTCCACAGAATAGACTCTCAGGCAGTTAGTTGTTTTCTTATTGGCAAAACTGACAAGATAGTCTTCACCTATTGCCTTTTCAGATTTAATAATATTCTCATGGCTGTGTATCCTGATGCATATTTTACTTTATCATTTTGGGAATTTAATTAATTTATCATTCTGAACTATTTAGGAAGGAGAGCAGTAAGTTACACAGCTGTATGCTAACTAGTTAAATTTTTCTTTTGAGGAGAAAAAGGTGAAGTTGCACATTCATCAGTCCCCTTGCTTGTTGTACCACCTCGAAATGGGTATGGGGTTTCCAGCCTCTCTACAGCAATACAGAACTGAAGTATCAGGTTATGTGTCTTCTATTGGGTCTCATTGGCAAGGGGGGACCATGGCATATAAAAAATGAAAAACTGCAAAAAGTAACTGTGATTGATTTGGTCAGACACATTTCTCTGAACTGCTGATGAGAGGAACCCCTTGAACAATCCTAGTAAGATTGATCTTAGATTGTTAATGTTCTGTTGTTCACTCCTTTGAATTCAATCCTAAAGGAATTCTGGTACGTGGTGAAGCAGTAAATGAAATAATTGTATTTTTGTGGTGCTTAAAAGAAGTTTATTAATCATATGGGCTCAAGTCCAGCAAAGTATTGTGAATATGCATGACTTTAAACATGTTTTCATTATTTTGCTGGATCAGCATTGTGATTTCAATGTTATTTAATACCGCCTAATATTAAAACAAATTTTAAACTGGCAATTAAGAAAACTATGTTCATTTCGAAGATTTTGGTATAATTTATCTGTTAGAGTAGGGAGGCCTTACAGACTGACTTCACTTAAGGAGGATGTGTCACTTATTGTCAGCGTGGTATGGACTTTATTTGCTTAAATACCTTCATTTGTAAAGTATGTCTCACTTGAAATTGCTTTGTATACATTTTGTAAAAATATTTATAAAATGTTTTGTAAAAAAAAAAAGTATAACAAATTGCAGTTTATTTTGTTATGTTGGATAAATACTGTTAAAAGACACAAGTCAGTAAATATATTGTTAATCCATGGATAGGAAATGTTTAGTTGGAGATTACAAATTGAACCAACCATTGCAATACAGCCAAAGATTTGGGAAAAAATGTCTATCTGTGATTGTCTTGATTTAACCAAGTTGAATATTTACATTTCCAAAAGATGATTGGTATCAGTTTTAAGTAATATGGCTACAAAATATTCTTACTCCTCTGCTTTTCTTGACACAGCTCTGTTGTAATGTATTCAGTGGGCCAACTTTCCATACTCCTTATGCACTTTCTGAACTTACACTGTTAGGATTTGGTTCATGTGGCATTAATATTACTGAATGTAGCTGTAAACTCCAAATTACATGAGAGCCAATGGTCCTGCGTTGTTGGTATTAGAAGTCTTGCCGCAGTGAGGTTCTTGGGACATGCTCTCCTTCCCTGGTGTATTTTCACAAAGTGGGGGAATCATCTTCCTGATGCCTCAGGGAGATGGAAGATGAGAGGGCTTTTGCCAGGCAAGTGGCCACTGCATCCACACTGCAGGTTTGACTCACATCAGCTGCGTTTGGTTGTAGATACCTGTGTTTGGGTATTCTGTGAGAAAATGCTGCAGTTGTAGGTGGTACAGGGAATCTTCCTACTTTTATTAGAGGGTAAGAACCTTTTCTTACTGTGATTTTTCAGAGAGTATGCTGAGAAACTGATCTAGTAAAGCTCTTATGCTTGGAACTTCCTCACTTTTTGGAGGCTGGAGTATGGGTGAAGGGCACTGCCTCTCATCTTGGAGTAGGGCCTGCACTGTTGAAAGGTAGAAATCTTCGTGGTTAGTATTTGTTATTTTGTCAATGAGACAAAATAAATACACCTTTTGAATGCTTCCCATATGGATTCAGACAGTAAAATGAATAAAATCAGTTATATATTATTTTAATCTCTTGTTGGCTTAGGATGGCTAAGTAAAACACCATTCATTTTGAGGATCTGAATGGAAAAAAAAAAGCCAGAATCAGATTGGCAGAAGGAAAGGTAAGTGTAAACAATTTTAAAGTTAGAGGAATTCCTCTCTTCTTTTTAATAAGCCTTTGATTTTTTTCCTTTCAAATCATACACACATTTCCTTGGAGTTTTTACAACAATGCGTTTGTCAGACAACTTCAAGAAATGGGAGAAATTGTCTTTGTACAGCTCTCACTTTGGTTGAAGAAAGTCACTGCAGAAAAGAAGAAGGTCTGGTGTAAGATCTGCTCATAGCAGCTCTGGAACACAGATGCAATGCATGTACAGATTTCAGATGAGTAGTGCACCGAGTTATTTGTGATTTATGGATTGGCATTTGTGAGTGCTGCTAATCTTGCAACTGGTCATTGTATTGGACATAGAAGAAAGTGTGCATAATAATGAGTTCCAATAGGTAAACACCTAGTAAGCTAGAGGGAGCTTTCTGTTCTGGGGGAGAAAACACATAGAAGAAAGTGTGCATAATAATGAGTTCCAATAGGTAAACACCTAGTAAGGAGCTTTCTGTTCTGGGGGAGAAAATCTGCAAAGGACACAGAGTGTCCAGCTGAAGCAATATTTTTGGTGTAAAGCAAAAAGCTTTAAAGTTACCCTGCTGTGTGCTGAGGTTAAGCCCCGTTTTATTTTATTTCTAGAGTCTATATCTTACCTTATGGGGAAAAAGTGTTCTATAAATGGAGGAACTAGCTGCATCAGAATTTAAGGCTCTTCTGTATTTTATTTTTTTAAATATACGTACACAAACACACACATATATATGTATATATGGAGGGTGTGGATTGACCTCCCAGACAGCTAGTGACAGAACAAAGACTTAAGCTGTGCCAGGGGAGGTTTGGGCTGGATATAACAGGAATTTCTTCACTGAAAGGGTTGTTCCTCACTGGAATGGACTGCCCAGGAAGTGGAGTCACCATGACTGGAAACCTGATATAGCTCATCTCACAACGAGGTGTTGCTGTGTGTATCTGGGGTTGACAAATGGCCAACAGCATCAAAATGCATGGAGTTAATAATACTGAGATTGAAAAATTCCACATTACTTTCATGGCAAAATTAATCAGGGATTTTGGAAGCCTCTGTTAGCAAGCGTAAGTAGAGTGTCTCCTATGCCTGTGGAAGGCTCTCTACTGAGTGCTCAGGAACAGGGACTTGGGAACCTTCGTGTCCAGAGAAGGAAATTCACATGAGGCTGAAGGAGATGAGGCTCAAGAGTTTGGAAGAGATGAGCAGGAAGGTGAGTAGGTGTGCACAGGATGGATTTTTTTGGGATCTGAGATTTAAATGACTTAAACCTGATGTTAAAAGCAGAGGAAGCTTTACTGTATCAGTTGATGTATTAGATAACATAATATTAAACACACTGCTCTCTTTGCACCTGGGTGAAAAATGGATTTAGTGAATATTTTACTCGGATGAGGATTTGTGTGTCTTAACAGTTGCAAGGATGGGCTGACACACAGTTTGAAAGCTGTTTGTGAAAGAACATATCTAATATGCAAGGTTTGGTGTTAATTTGAGCAAGAACATTGCTAAAAACTGTGAGTCAGTTCCAAAATATTGTGGAATGGGGGAGCTATTTTCATGCTACTGAATGAATGTCATTGACAACCTAAGTCTTTGCTAAGAGGTAAGGAAGGTATGAAATCTATTTGCTACTATACTGGGGTTTTTTTTCTGAGGGTGAATTCGATTAATTTTGAGTTTTTAGTGAAAACAACATACAACGTTAAGGTATCCGTAGTAATTAGAATTCCCTTTATGAAAATGCAATATGTTGCTCTCCTCCATTCACAAGGGCAGTTTTAGTCCTGTGACAACCAGTCTGAGAGTTAAATCTCCCTTCCCAGGAAGCTGAGGTCTCCTTTTTTTTAAAGTGAAATATTAATGCATATGATTTTGTTAAAGCTAAAAGGGAGATACCACTCCACTCTGATTTTTTTTTTTGGTTGTTTTTTTTTTTTTTTTTTAATCCTTTGACAATCAAATTTCTATCTCCTAAGTAATAAAGGCATTCTTGGGTACTTCAGCAGTGTTCTGTCAGAGGTTGCATGTTTTGTTTCAGAGCCATTTTGATGAAGCAGGATCCTACAAAAAATTGTCATATTTTACCCGTGCTTCCATTTTCCATACATTTTCCTTAACTTTTGGAAGAATTAATATTTGTCTTTGATTTGTAAACTCTCTAGCTAAGAGACCCCCTCTGCTCTTTGCATGCAGATGTGTTTAGCATTTACCCTAATCAGAGTGAAGGTATTTTCTTCCTTACCTGTCTGGTTTGGTAGAAATAAATACCAGGGCAAGGTTATTGATGGCAAGGAAAACTGGATTTATTTACTTTTTTTTTTTTTCCATCTGCCATGCTTTTTCATACCTGAAGGTGTTGGTAGTAGTTTTATGGCTCTTGATACCAGGGTCCAGGCATTGAAAGAATTTGAGACTGAAGACTGGATTAAACTGTGCCACAAATTGTGTGGCCACGAGCCTTAGAACCTTATACTTAAATACAGACCTGCTTGTTTGTCCTGCAATCCAAAAGCAAGATTTATCTTGAAATCCAGTGTTGCTGTGTGTATGCAGAGGAAGAGGAGAAGGAGCAGATGTAAATTGTTAAAGGTCTATTGGTTTTTAGAACAGAAAAAAGAGTATTTTCACTTGCTTCCTTTGTCCCCTCATTTACTTAAAATTGCAGGAGCTTTGACACTGGTGAGTTGACAGTGTTCTGTAAGAGGTTTAAAAATTAGAAGCACTGTGGAAGGCAGAATATGCAGCTCTGTCTGTCTTTTCCAGGGGTAGCTCTATAACTTCAGGTTCTGTGTAAATAAACAGTAGGTTTCAGTTATCTGCTGCTAATTAGCACCCAAATTTGATTTGCACTCTCTTCAAAGGGACTCATATCTTTCCATTTAGTTATTTGTTTCAGTGCAATGAGTGAGTGTAATTCAAACCAAACGTGGGTCAATTTCCTACTTGGAAAAAAAAAAAAGTAAGGAATGTATTTATCCACAGTCATATCAGTTTAATTTTAGTTTAATGTATGTGGTGATTCACGGCCCCAATAGGGAGGTGAATATATGTCAATCTGTGAATTGGCTTTGCCTGCTTGGCAAGTTTGTAAAGGGCTTGGTCAGCTGTAGAAGGTCTTAAATAATTGTGCCAAAGGGATGGTTCTGGTGGGCTCTGAGTAATGAGAGGAAGTTTTAACGTTCTACAGATGTAACAAAGTCTCATTGTGAAGACTTCCCCCCCCAGATATTATTTCTCTTACACAGCATCAAGCCAGTTAGTCTTTCACACAGACTTTTTTTGTTCTGTAATAATTATCCTTTTAATCTTTATAGGCAGACTGTATTTATTCCTCTGAATGTAGTGGTGCAGCCAACAGTCTCTGAGGGCATTGAAACAATGGTCTCATCCCTTTCCTTCACCAAAAGCACCTACTAAAAACTGTAAGCCTAGGGAAGAAATGAGGCAATTTAAGACATGTCTGATGGAGTGGTTGACTAAAACATCAAGCAGTGCTCTGGAAGTCCTGCAGTACTATATCATGTGGACACTGCCCTGGGAAACATGCTCCAGGTGACCCTGCTTGAGCAAGGGCCTTAGACAAGATGACCTTCAGGCATCCCATTCTTCCTTAACAACTCTATGCTAATAATATTCAGTTAACATTGTGGAGAAAGGTTATTTAAGTGTGCAGCACTGGCTGCAGTTTTCAATTGAACTTTGAGATCACACAAGCGATGGTGTGTATTGAAAAATACATTAATTTCTGCTTTTTGTGACCTAGAAGTAGAATGTACTGTGAGAAAGATGTTAAAAGATTGTTACTAGTCAAATGGTTAGTATTTTACAGAAAATAACAACTGTCAGAAAAGTGGACATTGTTTTCAGCAGAGCTGTCTTGTGAATGAACATTCACCAAATGCCAGCAATACTCTGCTGGGGAGCCTCCTACATGCTGTACCTCTAACTCCAGGGAGTCATTCATAAAATGCTCACTGGATGCAGTGAATGCTCTTCATTTTAACATGTCTTGTCTCTTTTTCACCGTTAAAAATATTCTGTGTCCATCCTCATCCACAGTCTCTTTTGCC